GACTAACCGATAGATATGAGAGTGCTTCAAATCACTGACCTGGTTTGCCGTACGTCGGTACTGCGGTATAAGCAGGTCTTTTGGATGCTAATGAAATTTGGGCTGTGGTTTTCTGAGAGAAGATTATGAGCTTAGTGATTCTCTTCACTCCCTAAGAGAATAGCCCCACATTTGTGGTTAAGGGGATAGTGAGTTAGCGTTAGAACGTACGATTTTCCGGCTTTATATACTATAAAATGCTCTTATCTCAACATCGGCTACCTTCAATTCCGCAGGACTTAGGATTTGGTGGAATTATCCCACTACAGGCCTGAGTCGGCAGTTCACTGTTTCCTCTATCCCTTTGAAAAAAGATAGATTGGATAGGAATCCAGGAAGATGTTGAAGTCGCGTCAATTTCTGAAAACTTAGCACGACATTTATCATATAAGCTTCGGGAGAGTGGTAAGTTCTCCCACAATAGCACAAACTTTGGTCTCCGGCAGAATCGAGTGCAATACCAATTACTAGAGGTCCACAACCACGGGGTTTTCGTTGTCACTCATGACTAACGCACGTTTTTTTAATCTTTCAGGTTCATTCAACATAGTACTTTAGAGAAACATTCTGGTTTTCATACGGTTTTCTGAACTGTCTTACTAGTGATTATGAATATCCGAAAAACTGTGGAAACAGCAGTGATATCTGCTAGTAAGGTAAACCAGAAGGTTAGGGAGCAACACTGGATCTCAACAGCATCTATCGCACTGATAGATGCTCGGAAACTCATTCCACCTGGCTCTGAACATAATGAAGAGCGGAGTCAGCTAAAGCGCAAGCTGACAAGAAGTCTACCCAATGATCGCGAACAGTGGTGGGTAGCGAAAGCAAGAGAGATGGAAAAGGCAGCGGCAATAGGTAATTGCAGACAATTGTTCAGACTCGTTAAGGAAACCGGAATTAGGAACCCGACCGTTAGCGAAACAATCCCAGAGAAAGATGGACTTATTATTCATTCTCAATCCAGGAGACTGGATCGAGGGACAACACTAGGGATCAGTTTAACTGGCCTTCAGCCACACTTCGGTTTCCCACGATCTCCAGTCAACCTGAATGGCAAGTTAATTTAGGTCCTCCGTCCCTTTACGAAGTTGAATACGCTATAAGAAATCTGAAGCAAGGGAGGGCAGCAGGCCCTGACAGGTTTACTCCCGAGGTTTTTAAGGATGGTGGTCCAGTATTAGCAATGAGATTAACCGAGGTCTTAGGTAGAATTTGGGAACTAGACGTAATCCCATCTGACTGGTCTCAATCACTGATTGTGCCAGTCTATAAGAAAGGACAAAAGTCCTCTTGTGACAATCACAGAGGAATCAGTTTGACTAATATAATGTCTTAAATATTAGCTTCAATAATACTTCGACGCCTAACCAAAGCTCGTGAAGAACAGACTAGATAGAATCAGGCTGGTTTTCGACCTGGACGTGGTTGTATAGATCAGATATTCACACTACGTCAGGTTCTAGAACACAGACACACATTCAGACGCCCCACAATGGTAGTATTTCTCGACCTTAAGGCGGCATTCGACTCTGTCGATCGTGAGGTTCTATGGCAGTGTTTGTCACTGAAAGGAGTACCAAAGAAGTACATTAACCTTATACAGGCTCTCTACTCGAACACAACTGGTAGAGTGAGAGCTTATGGCGAACTGTCATCAGAATTGATTACCTCAAGTGGTGTTCGTCAGGGCTGTCCACTCTCCCCATTCTTGTTCAACTCTGTCGTCGACGTACTTTTAGAGATAACACTCTCATCTAAATTTACAGGGGTTGAACTTCTACCGGGAGGTTCACTTGTTGACTTAGAATATGCAGATGACATAGTTTTATTTGGTGAAGACGCTGACAAAATGCAGAGTCTTCTGACCACTCTAAGCAACAATGCAAGCATGTTCGGGATGCGATTCTCCCCCTCGAAATGCAAAATGTTGCTTCAGGATTGGGTTGCATCGTCACCCGGACTAATGATAGGGAGTGAAGTAGTTGAGTGTGTCGATCGCTTCACTTATCTTAAAAGTCTCATCAGCCCTTGTGGTTTAGTGTGTGACGAAATCTCAGCACGGATATAGAAGGCTCGACTAGCTTTTGGCAACTTGAGTCATTTATGGCGTAGGCGAGATATCCGTCTATCAACTAAAGGACGTGTTTACTGCGCAGCAGTTCGTTCCGTCCTACTTTATGGCAGTGAAACATGGCCGGTAAGAGTAGAGGATATCCGTAGGTTACTAGTATTTGATCATGGGTGTCTACGAAACATTGCTCGTATATCAAGGGACCATCGAGTAAGTAATGGTGCTGTTAGGAAACGGGTACTAGGTAAGGATGGCAAATCAATTGATGACGTAGTGAAACTTCATCAGTTGAGATGGCTGGGACACGTGTTACGTATGCCCAAAGACCGACTGCCTCGACGTGCGATGTTCAGTGGTATAGGAGTAGGTTGGAAGAAAGCTAGGGGCGGCCAGACCAAAACATGGCACAAGTTCATGAAGTCACTGACAAGTGAACTGAGCCATGTTGGTAGGTGTAGACTACCTGGTTGGGGACCGCGAGATGATAGCAACCGATGGTTAGAGACCCTGAATGACATGGCTCAAAATCGTTTGCAATGGCGCAGGTGCATCCACTCTTTGTGTTCTCCCAAATTCTAATCTTCTGAATTCTTCATGTCTCTTTTTTCCTCTTTCCAAATTTATTTCACTGGATTATACTCCTTGAATATCATCTTCAAACCGTAATCTTTTTGATTACTGTTTATACTCTTACTACCTCTACGGGATTTGAATCGACCACTGCATCTCTGTGCTAATGTGGTGTGGCAACTCGAACTGATGTACGTACGAAGTTCTATTTTGTTACTGACTGACTGATGATTTTCACAAACATTTGTGATTCCTGTTGCTCACGAGGTTAGCACTAGACTTTTTACTTGGTTCAAAGCGTTTCGTGACTTCAGCGACCTTGATCACTTATAATTGTAAACAGTTACTGACTGATCGGTTTGTTAACTGTTACAATGATTATCTCTTAAGGCATTCCGCTTGAAGTTTTTAAAATTAGTCTTGTCGTATAAACAAGATTTGAGTTTCGTTGATTAGCAAACCTGAAGAACTTAATTTTTTGAATCACTTTTTGTTAATCAGCAAATATATTACTAATATTAGTTTTTTGTCGTATTAGGTTTGCTTCAGATTACGAGAAAGGAGCGTCTTTTCTTTTAATAGGGTTTAGTAAAATGTTTTGTTGGTCATCTATTTTGAGACTCACAGTTATTTAGATGCTCAAGGTTTTTGAGCGGAAGGTCATTGCGCTAACAGCTGAACAACGTTGTTGCATAATATGCTTCCTTAGGTTATGTTTACGAGAATATCTCTGACTTGTACTAAGTGGACATATGCCTCATTTGAACACCAGATAGTGTAACAAATTTACTGTTTACCATAAGTTTAGACATTGCTTGTTCCGCTCATTATTCCAGTTTCAGCTAGAGGTTGGTGACTTAAGACACTTTCTACAGAACATTTGACTAATACAGCTTTTCTTTAGTCACTAAGGCATTCCGTCTTAATTTGTAAGAAGCGAAAACATAGTTTGATGGGTTCTCTGATCGAACGATATATATATATGATGTGGGGATTCGGTTGAATATAGTTCGTTCGCCTTATTCCAAACCCTATCCAGTCATTGAATATCAAGCACTACACTCAAATCATGATAACGGATTAGATACACAAAAGTTAATTTAAATTGGTTAAAGAAAAACATGACAATTGCTTGAACACAGGTATAAACGCACGTCATTGAAGTTATTATTGTCAAAAGTTTTTTTGTGAAATATCAAAAGGATCGATAGAGAGAAAAAGCCAGAATAAATATAGTTAACTTGAATCCTACAACTATCCATATCAGAACACCATAATGTTGATAGCATTTATGCAAAGAACGTTTACTGCATAAGCAAAAGATCAAATATGAACAATGGAAAGCGAACTGTTCCAGCTAAATCATTTGCCAGCACACAGTTGTCAGAAGAGGTTTATGTTAGACTGAAACATAATGATAAATCATATTGATGATAATAATTGAGTGTAATTCTGTTTTTGGCCGCTGTTGTATGGATAGTGCACTGAACACAGTCAAAAGAAAATCCAAAATCTGTCATTGTTCATCTAGATCGAGTATTAATTCATCTACCGGGAGATAATGAAAGGTGAACAAAGAAATAATAGATGGTAAATTTACATACAACATTGTTAGTACACATATACGCTAAAATAAGGGGAAAAATGAGGCAAAGCTCGATTAACTACTATTTCTTCATTTTAGCACGAATTTCATCCAAACTTATTTTGTCTCATTCGAAATTCGCTTCAAATCGTCCGAGATTAAAATACTCGTAGCAGTACATTAATCTTCAGTCATGTTTTATTTAAATTAATTGGCAAGGTTCTGTCTTCTGACAACCCAAACTCGATTCAAGATCCAAAAGCTGTTCCGTATTTAAAATCTATATTAAACAAATACCTAAGACTAAAAACAATGGTAATCAGTGAGATAAACCTGTGTATATGGAGAACAGGGAGCATATTCGTGAAATTCATTAGCATCAAAGAATGAATTACAGTACTGGTGCTCTACATCCTGATTTTAAATACTCCAGTTAGTGATGCACATATTAATTTTTCATTCCGCTATGAACTGATAGTAACTAGGACTCATTTAAAGCAAAAGCACTGCACATCTGATTCGTCTTAGTCTAAGACCCTTTGATTATATACCTATGACGCCACAACGGAAGTCGAACCTCATATCAAGAGGATTATCATCTTTAGATTATTGACTCGAAACCCAACGGTTCAAAATCAATTTGCGAGGTGTATATAATTATGTAAACAAATATATGTGAGAAATCGAAATACCAGCTTACTCAACCATTACTTTTTCACTTATATGATTATTTCAAGTATCGCCTTGATCATAAACATTATTATTAGCAGCATTGTCTAATTGACTTGGCTGTTCACTTTTACTGACTGATCTACCGAGACCTTCATCAGATTTTCCCGGTGAATGATGAATCTGTATCTCATTCATTGTACGACTATTTGAATCGGTTCGGAGTGATTGTGCTTCATCTACTGGACTAGCAAACTGTTGATTGATAATCGGTAAATTATTCGTAGATTGTTTATTTCTGATACAAGCACTGTTGTTATTATTATTGACCGAGATCGCTTTAGCCACAGCTTCTGCTTCGGTCTGTAAACGACTGATTCTGTGACACAGCATAGCTAAACTTAAATCTGTTGGTTCTGTTATCAATTGTTGAGTTTCAGTTAGATAATCAGTGCCTAAAATATTTGATTCTTTGTTGTGAACTAGAAATGCAGAAAAAATTAATTATGTAAATTTAAAGATTATATATATAATGTGGACGCGTTTACGGTTATAATTCTAAAAAATGAATTGGTTGGTTGTGAAGATCAGTTCAGTTTTGAGATAGTTTTTGTCACAAACTGAAAATCATAAAGTGATGGATAATTGTTTCAACAATGCACATATACGAACCTGCGGGGAATCGAATTGCGGACCCTCCAGTACTTAGGCAAAAGTAATACCTTTAGGTCAGTGGGTTACAGTCAAATGGTTCATATTTCTAACTCTATTCAGTATCTGTTAGATTGCAACGACATTCGATGAAACCTATCTTACAAAACACATGGATGAAATTCACCAATCACGACTTTTCACAAGAACCGTCCTAAAGGCATCGTGTTCGTCGAGAAACATAAAGTTTTTGACCTGACTGGATATGGGGTAGCAGAAGCCCACTGATGTAGAGTCCCTTAACTAGTATAAAAAATAGGTGTTCAGACGACCCTAGATTTCAATGGTTCTCCAGATACCTAATGAAAATCGCCGTCGAACCGAAAAAAAATAATTTGTATAAATCTTATTTTTGTGATGATAAATATTTAAAAAGTTTCACTGAAACTAATACCATTCAAATAGTGAGTTCTACTCACATTTGAAATCCTAGTTTACTTACAACATAGCATAATCGCTAAAGTGCATTATCAATAAACAGCTAGTCGATTTTCTACTTCGTTGACTTTGAGAAATACATATGAAAGCTCGTAGACAGTGAAACAATTATTATTTAAAATTTGAAAAATCCCCATATTGTAATTTGGAAACAACAATATATAAGCGAACAATATTGATTTCGATTAGATCCTCATCATTATTTATTGCATAAAAACAGAACAATTATTTGATCATAAAATATAAATGATTGACAATTCTGTTGTTTTTTTTAATACATTTAAACTGATAGAAGTAAACAGATAAAATGACTAAACCATCGCAGTTTTATTACTGCTAGGAAAACACTTTCATGATCAAAACTGATTTAAACGAATACAGAACCTTTGCGAAAAAAGTCGTCCTATTAGACTATTCGAATTCATTAGGAAGCAAATTACTAACAGAATGAGGGTTTTCAGAGGGGTTATTGAAAGAAGAAAATAAAGCCCATTATCACTCAGAAATTTACCAGTTACATTCATCTGGTGCTCGTCGTTTCAATTATATGATAAATCATAACTGAATCATCCTGTTGTATTTTACACTGTCTAACATGATGAGCAAGAAATAAAACCACCAATCAGGTCTTAATTCACTAAAGAGTGAGAGAGGAGTGTTCAGTTATTTAAGTAGAAGTATATTATTTCGCTAGGTGAAGAAAACCTATACTTCTGGTGAGTGGTCTTGTCGTTGATGTTAGTTCATTTGTGGGCTTGAGTCGATAATCCAGTGCAGTAAACAGACATAACCCAGCTAATTTGTGTCATTATGTTCACCTATCGATCAATATTGTATTCATTTCACTTAAATAATTCTACATTCGTTCAGCATTTATCATTAATCCGAACTAAAAACACTTTAATCTACTTCGATAAAGTACTTAGATTAGTAAACAGAAATTGTGTAGATAGAAAGCGTATAACGCACAATATACCTGCAGGACCAATTGGCTGGGATGGAAGAGAACTGACATCTGAATGATTTGGTACAACTTCACCGGAGCTCATAGTATCTAAATCAGATCTATTTTTTCAGCAAAAAAGAGATTGACAAAATAAACAAGTGTATCGAGATTAACATGAATTGACCAAATAAATCGAACGAAATCAACGGTAAGAATGATTAATACCAAGTGTACACATCAATCGTTACATTTAACAATTCAAAAAGTTAGAGGGCAAATACCTAAAACAAATTTATGGGAACTAAACATAAACCAGTTCTACTGGACAAAAACATGTAACGTGTATACTTCCTGATAAGGTTCTATGATATAATCGCATACCAAGGTCAAAAATCTTAGGTAACATTACATTTCATTAAATCAGACATGTCGATACTCCCCTATTGCCTCTACTGTTTCGAATTTCACACTATTAAATTCGTCTGTCGCTCTGCTGCTGTTGAGTGTGGCAGCTCTAATCAATGTACATTTAAGTCAAATCATACACAATATGTTTTGCATGAACTGTATTCGCAAGATTTAAATACTACATTTGCAAATTTATATGACAATAAATTATGTATCACGAATTCGAGAGTTAATTCCTGAAGTTTTAATGAAAAGCTGTGACTGGTGGAATCTAAACATATCGGATATGAGGCAAAACCCATTAATAGCACTGAAAGAGGGTGCGTAATGTCGTGAGTAGATTAAAGTTAGACACTTACGCCATCGCATGCCAAATCATTGGTTTAAAGGCTAAGCGCTCGTTGTGAGATCTGGAGATTTTCGGTTCGATCTGTGAGATTGTGGATGCGCATTGTCTAGGAGTCTTACACTAGGATGAAACAGCTGTCCAGTGATTCCCAATTTTAAACAACAGTCTAAGATTAGTTGGTAATATAAACTATATTGCAAATTCATAGACGACAGTATAGAATCCCGTGCAAATAAATACAGATATAAGTTGGTATATTAGCACAATGAGAACAAATGAATATAATGAGACTAGAAGAGGAAATGATAATATCAACTACAACAGGAAGCTAAATGTAAGAAATTTATTCCCAAAAGAACCAATAACGTAGGAGAATCAAAAGTAAGAAATAAAATCAAGTCAAATGTTTAGAGAAAAATAAAACAGAATGAATCCAACTGAGTTGTTATGACTGAGTTTGGGTCATATCAAACCACGTACTCAATCATGAAATTTTGACTGCTGTTCATACCAAGGAAATTCGCAATTACCTAAACTGAGTCAAATAATCAATCAGTTCATATACCAATCCTATTTATTTGTTTGGGTTTCTTTCAACCTATTAATCCCATGCTATAGACGCTTGGAAACAATTGCTATCATAGTAGATGAAAAGTTTAGGATTAACAAACATAATAAAACCTAATGCTAGTGATCAACGTTTAACCTAAAGGACGACCGTTTTTTACTCTCTTTTATTAAGAATAACTCATCATTTGTGGATCCTAAACACTATCTGAAACCCTTTGGGGTTAATTTAAGTCACAAGCCCATGTAAAGGAGGGTTTAGCATAAAGTTATCAGCCCCACCTCAAAAAGAGAAACTCTGTCACAGAAATGCTAAACAAAGAAAACCAATCAAACTGAGTTCAATGAGTCGAAGATCATACATTATGTTCACAAGAACAGAATCTTTACAAGCCGAGAGATCGATGCACTAATGGAAATCAGAACACAACATAGATAGGTGAAACCCAAAGTATACAATCTGGACAAGAAACATTACATTTCAAGAGAACTGTTATTGCATTGTGGATACATGGGAGAGAACAAAACACATACACAACGAGTTGCACTGATGCCGTCCAGAGAAACACGAAAACCGCCTATAAGATGAGAGGCCCAAGGCGACAGGATTATCGAAACATCCTCCAAAGCAAAAAAAGAAAACATTGCAATGAATATTGCCCACTGATACACACCCATTAATGATGTCAGTAAAGATGATGAAGACCTGTTCTACAAGAGAATACAGTCCATCCCAAAGAAATGTCCAGGAAAAAGCCTAACAATCTTCGCGAGGGACCTGAAACCCCAAAGTCAGAATAGACAATATCGAGTACGAACACATCATAATGCAAAATGAACTGGAAGAAAGGAATGAGAATGATGAGAGACTGACATATGTATTTATTATAAAGAACATGGTTATAGATTGCATCACTTCCCTTCACAAATCCATGGGATTCACCGGATCACACCAACAGATCGACCACATCTGGATCAACAAAAAAACTAAGGAGGTCCATTGAAAACATAAAAAAAGAAATTGACAAGCAGCACTAAACAATTTTAAAATATTCCTTCATCCAGATGCTAACAAGCTCAGTGATATCGAGATGTATCTGAGTAACAAGTTTTAGGCTTTACAAGATCTACCATGAGAAGAAACTATCATGGGAAAAATCTGGAAAGGGATAATAGAAGCAATAACTTTGACATGACCCGTGTCATGCCTCAAGAAGCGCCAATATAAGGAGTGGATATTTGTAGACAGTCTGGGCAATATTCAAGAAAGGATAAACAAAGAAGCAGTTAACTACAGTCGAACGAAAGTCAAGGCATAGCATAGACCAAAACTAGCTAACAAGTAAAGAACACCAAAACTGACAAGCAAAACCATATACAAGACCAAGCAACGAGAACAGAAAAGCTGTAATAGAATGAAATATCAAAGGACGATGTGATACAATCAATAAGCCAGCAGAGAAGTGTAATAAACCAGATCGGCCAATCAAAAACAAAGGCACACCAACCATCGAGAACCAAGAGCAATGAAACAGGTGGACAGAGCACACTGAATAAACCAGCAGCAGTTGGACCAGATGGCATTCCAGACGAGGCACTGGAGTCAAATATAGCAGCAACTGTAAAGATGTTCAGCGTTCTGTTTAGGGAGATTTGGGAGGAAAGAAGGATACCCCATCAAAGAACCGAAGAAAGGAATTCTTGGTGGGTGTGAGAACTACAGGTACAGTTTCAATAGACGTTCAACTTCTAAATCAACAGTATTTCGTAAGGACTGGTCATGTACAGACCTAACCTCAACACTGTGGGTCATTGTTGAGCAATCAATTGAATGAAAATCGTCACTATGTCAACTTCCTTAACTATGGGGGATACACTCTACAGTGTCGATGGGAAAGCCTTTTGAAACCTCCGACAATATGGAGTACCTGGGACAATAGTCACCAACATACGGAATTCATATAAGGAACTGAATTGATAAGTCCTGCATGGAAGACAGCTCACATATGTATTCCAAATGAAGACTGGGAACAATAAAAGCTGTCTACTTTCATCTTTTCTCTTTCTCTTGGTTGTTGACTGAATTATGAGACCTCCACATCTTAAGAAAAACACAGAATACAGAGGGCAGATGATCTAGCCCTTCTATTCCATATACAGCAGCAAATGCAGGTGAAGACAGTCAGTGTAGAAATAGGTCTATATACTCACAAGGAAAGAAGTGAGACCCTAAAATAAGATACAGCGAACATCAACTGAATCGTACTTGATGGCGAAGCTCTGGAAGAGGTGGGAACCTTCACGCAAGCAAAATTCAACTGATAAAAAGCATGGGAAGGGAAAGGAAAAGTAATAAAAAAATGGTGAACCTACTTTAAAAGTGAATTTATGGCTCCACTCTGATGTTCCAACGATACATGACACAAATTTGGTTTACAATTGTACATTGGTTCATAATTCAATCTGTCACATTCTAAATTATCATGAATGCGTTTAGTTTCAGCAGAGCGTTTAATGCACATATCACGAGAATCAACTTCACCTGATAATATAGATTTACTTGGTGTTGAATCTCCATTACTAGTCAGTGGATGACATGTTTTATTATTTTGAGGGATTGTGTTCATCATTCTCATAGCAGATTTGGATTTTACTGTGGCAGTGCGTGGTGAATTGCATACGTGTTTCGGTTGATTAACAAATACTCCATTTTCATGGTTATTTACTAATGAACATGATGATGAATTAAACAATTTCTCATAATTATTATTACTTTTGTTACTATTATCACTGTTATCATCATTATTAGTCTTAAAATTGGAATCCTCCCAAAAACGTCGATTATTCAATACATGTTCACTTACATCACGATCTCCTAAATAAAAAAATAACATGATTCAGAGAAATATAATACAAAGCGGAAACAGATCCATGTTTAAGATATGGATGAGAATGTTGAAATGCATTTAACTGACATTCGCTTGTGAAATGTTACATTTTATTGTAACTAGATTATTTGATTTTATTTCTTACGAGACAATATTGAAGTATTTACGCAATCAAAGTGCATTAGTAACATTGTAAGAATGATTGAAAAATGAAGGTAAGAACCAGAGGTAAATAGGCCCTTGTTTAAAAATCCTTTTTTATCATTATTACAAATATATTACTTATTTATCCTTTCTTATCAGTTACGATTCCAGAATGGATTTCATTACTATCTTAACAACGCAAGTAAATAAACCTTGATTTGATATTTATGTTAATGTGACTTAAATTTACGAAATTTATTACAGCGTGGTAACTTAATAATTAAAGTGTTAACATTTCAATCACCCAACAACATGTTTGAACGCTGTCGAACTACTAGTTACAATGATTTTCAGGGAGAAAATGTGTAACAATGAAACGTAAGTTTCGTTCATTTCTAAATGTGATTGATTTATATTAGTGCAATCTAGATGTTGAAATACTTTTCTTTTCAGATATTACATCATTTATAGTCATTTTAAGTCGTCTTTCATAGTAAAATGAATTTATTAAACTTACGTTCAATCCAAAACATAGCAACGTTAATCAATCTGACATGAAGCAGTATTTAAAAGATGTAATAGATCTCATTTGTTTTATAATAGAGTAGTTTCCCAAAGACTATACAAATGATTGAAAATATATTCAGATAAGGGTAGTGAAAATGATAAGCTAAGCAACCAATTTATGACAAATGTATCTATTGTTCAGTGTGATTAACTTAATTCATCCAAGTTCATCTACTGAAGGGAACTCGATTGTTGAAAGAAATGTGGAAAGATAATCTTTAGATAAGTATTACTGTTTTGACACAGAGGGTTCGGTGGTTTAATTAAGATTCACACAGAGATTGTCTTGTTGTCAGATGCATAGGTTTTTAAAAATGTACTCAATAAGTTATGCATATGCCAATCTCTCCCTCATCACAATTTATTTGCTTTTGTATATAGCAAACTCGCCGACTCACGTGGCAGCAAAACAGGTCCCATTTGCTTGGTCTGAAATTTGCCAAGACGCGTTCAATTATCTGAAAGACAAGCTTTGTTCAGCTTCTGTACTAGCTCTGCCCGACATATGACCTGACTCTGACAAAGAAATTTTAAACATTAATATTGGCAAATCAGCGATTAATGTTGTCTCATCTCGAACTGGGCCCAATGCTAAGTAACACATAATCGAAATGTTAACTGTTGTTATATTTATAGGGGAATACAGACCGTATCTTCAAAGTCAACATATCACATTGAGTACAGATCAACAGGTGATCCAGTGGATCCACGGCTAGAGATCCATGAAAGACGAATAGCACGATGTTAGGAGTGATTTCAGGAATTTGGCTTTATATAAGTTCGTCAACCCATATGTTTGAACAAAAATGGAGAATTTTATCTCACCGGTTAGTTGTTACATGAAAATTGTCCTTCTTGTAAAGATGTAGATGGTTGTTCTGAGTGACATGGCTCAGAGTCGATCACAATGCGTTAGGTGTATACACTCTTTGTCTTTCCTTAAACCGTGAGATTAAAACTGCTTTATACCTTTCTTTCTACGAACTGATTTTTTATATACAGATATTACTACCATTGAAGTAACTGCTTCTATGAATTTGATATTCATCTTGTTGTGCTGATGAGGTGTGGCAACTTGGACCGATAAATATATGTGCCTAGTCCTACGTTGTGTCTAACTGACTGGTTCTTCTCTTTCGCAAGCAGGATTGAGTAGAAAGAAGTGGCTGTACAAGGACTTTTGAAACGAACCATTCCAAACCAGGAATGAGGATCGAGGAAGATCAAAGTAAGAAGCAAATTGGACAAAAGATGTTTATGTGAGTTATCGAGCCAACTAGTATTGGTAGATGGGGGGTACTATGTGTGCAACCAGGACTAAACTATATACGTGTTGTAGTGCTTCAATCAAGTGAGCACCAGTACAGTTATACTTCAGTGAAGGGACTTAACTTGAATGAATGTCGACAAGAGACACAGAAGTATCACCCTGATTGTAAGGAACTAGTGGAACGGACAAACAGGGCGTTAAAAGTATAACTGTAGATATTTGTTAAACCTGAACAAGTAATACCTTCTGATATAAACCTGCCACGTTCTCTGTTGAAGTACAGAGGAGTTTACAAGTGTTCACAAAACAAGCCTGGGATATTTTATGGACAGATTGAGAAATGGATCTAACCAGTGATGATAGTCTTAGGAGTCCAGTGGGATGACCCGTTAACACTTTCTAAACTGAGAGGCGACATTGCATACTACCATAGTTGAGCTCGAGTCAATTAAAAAAGCTCGAATTCAGAAATTTTACTATGGAGACAAAAGTTGAAGCACTCTTATGGAGATCAGTGATGAAGTTTTACCTGAGCAATCAAGGTTCTTGAGTCATAAGAGGGACAAACAGGAAAATGAGTGGGTTAAGTCTTAAGTGGTACCCCGATAAGTTGTGGGAAACACCTATGCGCCGTATCTTCGATGCATAATCTTTCCCGTTGTTACCAATGCTATTACTGTGGTGATTGAGAACACAAGTGGGGACAATCGAATGTATTTGAGCACAAAAATTAAAGAATATCTTAGTAAAATCTGAGAACCATAAAGTAAATACTTCATTTGCAAACTGTCAATCAATTATCTCACACTTAACTGTTCCTTCTTCAAAATTTCAATCAATCGACTCAGACTTCATCGTTCTTTCGTTTCCACACCAATCACTTTCCATTCTCGTTCTCCTTCCTTCTACCGCTAGATATTTCACTTTCGATGATGGTACATACTACTTACATCTGTCGACATCGGTAGCACACACCACATTACTACTTATGCTATGGGGTTACGCTAACAATATCATCTCACTGAGCTAATGGGGTATGGCAACTTAAATCGATGTAAACACGTATCAGGTTCTTCGTCGCATTTGACTGGCTGACTGATGAAATGGTCTGGGAAAGAAAATAGAAATTGGGGAGTGTAGTAATCGATTATAATCAACCAAAGCGAAGCTTAGTTGTAAGAGGTGGTACTAATATCAAAACCACCAGTAATACTGTTTTCTTCCAAATTCAGAGACACTAGGTGTTCTGAGTAACAATTGGGAAGCAGAGGCATATATATATATATATATATATATATATATATATATATATATATATATATATATATATATATATATATATATGTCATTCTCACTTCTGGACTAAAGTATGTGAATCGATGTATCTCTATACTCTGATCCGAGTGAATAGCAACAGAATGAATCGTAAAAGAGGAAACAAACACGAATCAAATTAGTGTAAATGATCACCGATAGACCTACCTGTCATTGTTTTTTCATCAATATCATTTTCTAAATGCTGAATTGCATTTTTTGTAATCTGTCCTGACGGTTTTATTTTTGTAGTCGTCTTCACCATCAGATTAGTCGGATCATTACATATTGATGAGAAATGGTACAATTTATCAGGTTGCAAATGATCAGAGCATTTCATGGTTGTTTTGACTGCTGTTATCGACGGTGACAATGATGAACTAGCATTGTTGTTGTTTTTTCTCAATTGATTACTGTTTTCATTCCTATTACAGTTGATTGTAATAGACCTATTAGTTAATAGTTCTTTTTGTACACCATTTCCGCTTAGTTGATTAGATTGTTTACATTTAGAAGATACATAAGATGATGTATGATTACTACAGGATGGAACTTGATCAGTTGTTACCAATGACAATGGTCTCATATTGTCTTTATGATATCGAGGTAAAGGTTTTAACTTACTACACTGAGATCGTTGAGAATGTTCATGATGATAGTGATGACTAAAATCAGTTAAACGACGATTGGATAAACTTTTAAAGTTTTTATTCCTCAATAAATAACTTTCTGATATTGTTTTTCCATACGATGACGAATGTGAGGATGACAAGGATGACGATGATGAAGCACATAACTTAGGATGAATTAAAGTAATCTCACTGAAATGAAGTCAACAATAAAGAAAGAAAATTTAATGATGAGAAGCATGTTTCTTACGTAAAGGTATATAAACTAGTTTATAAGAAAATGATTTAAAATCGCTTAGGGAATGTCATATTTTGAAAGTTAATTTGCATCTGTAAAAACAGCTTCATTGTAAACTAAAGACCATTAAACGATTTTAATCATCAAAGATGACCTCTTCAAATTGAATTAACTCGACGACCGTACAATAATTGACCAATAACATCACATGTAGATGGTTTCAATATATAGATCATTAATGACTTATGAAATTAAGGCCTCCTTACTGCCCCCACATCATTGACTGTCGATAGCTTTTCATTTCAACCTACTCCATCAGCCCTAAATTTCACATTGAAGTTTATACAGCATAGTATAGATATTTAATTAATTAACAGTATGAAGATGAATATGATGTCGGTTCACCAAACAGGCTTTTAAATGAGAATCTGAAAATATAGTCCATGGGATTAACAGATTGTTAAGGAAGGCATAATTCAATCATCCATGTCCATATTGTATTACGTTTCTTTTGGTTATACGGAAATGACCACCAAAGGAGGTTTCGGAATCAGCTAAGGTTGAAACTTTATTCTTTTCAGTAAATCACTAAAATTTACGGTTGTTTCGGTAAATTGTTCATTTCGTTGATAAATTAAAAAAAAGAGACGATTCACAAGTTGTAATCAATCAGTAAAACAACTCTATATATGAGACTGGACATTAAAGGGGACATGGTGGGTGAGATTTTAACACGTCGACTCAAAAGATCTGTTGAGAGGATGTTTCCCGCCACCAAGCTACATATAATTTTCTCAACTAAACCAGTACTCGCACAACTAATCAAGGATGGGTCACCGAATATGGGCTCCTCCGCGTGTGTATACCGATTCAACTGCTCCTGTGGAGCCAGTTACATAAGCCATACTCAGAGGGCTTTTTCCTTGCGTGTTCATGAACATGTATCAGCATGGTTGGGTAAAGGAGTCACTAAATCGATCAACAACACTATCCTTTCTCACTTGGTAGATAGTGAACATATAAAAATAGAGGAAGCTTTCTCTGTTTTATATCAAATTCCAAAATATCTACCTCAAGGTGCTAGATTACGGTTACTATACATAGCCGAAGCCATCTGGACCAACTCCAGAAAACTAAACTTATGTGTCCAGAAAAGGTATATCCAGCCTCTACTTTTATCTTGGCCTACGACTGGATCACCGATTACCTAGACTGAATATTATAAACCTCTTACCCCTTCCTGCCTTCCTTTTTCCCCTTATTATTACTATTATTATTATTTGATTACCTCTATCTTAATCTTCACATCCATTATTCCCAATTCGTTTGTCGTAATTACCTTGATAACAACCCCCTTATTACATATTATTATTATTATTATTATTATTATTATTATTATTATTATTATTATTATTATTATTATTATTATTATTATTATTATTATTAACTCAATTAACAAGATGAAATTCTCCTACTATGTATTTTATTCACACAATTTTTTTGCATTTTTATTTCTGCTATAATACTATTCTACTGATTGTGACTGGACACTTTGAAGTATTTATATCATAACAGATCCAAACGTTTACCATTTTTTAACATATAACATTGTCAAATTCATTAATACATGCCTTATTTTGGCCTTTGTAAAATATAATGATGGACTTATAACTGTAGAGCCTGATGATGAAGTTACTGAAAACAATTGTTCGCTCAAATATTCATTTTTGAATATTTTATGGAGATTTCGTTATGTTAATGACCGATATTGAATTGTGACAAACAGGGACCGATATACTCTTCTGTGTCAAGTCCTAAATTATGTAGAACTACTGATATACACATAATTAGGTACAATAAGGGGACGACCTACCTGCAAATATTGGAATCTTTGGTTTTTCTTTCCCAATTTGATTTACTAACTATTCCCGGTTGATAATTTGAAGAGGATTGACATCCATTCAACTTTTCGCTAAAAATTGATCTAGGTGAAGAGTCCATATCTAGTTCATTGTTATTGCAATTATTATTACTGCTAGTATTATGTGTGTTGTCTATCATCTGTGTTGGAATAATAGAAAATGGTTTTTGTTCTTTGAAATTGCATTGTAATTTATTGTCATTATTGAACCGACTCGTTGATGCCTCACTGAACTGTAATTTTGGTTTATCCTTTGTAGATAATTTAAACCATAATGGATGACGTGAGGTTTGGTTTACCTTTCGTTTATTACTGATGTTATTACTATTATTACTAATACTACCATTGGTAGATCGTAGACCAGGCAGTTTTAAAAGCTCCTCAATTGTATTCCTATTTCTAGCATGATATTCATAATCATCATAACTTGAGTTTATATCACTACCAACATCCGTTATAAGATTACACTCATATTCTGTCATTGGTATAATATCATTATTAGTATTCGGAGTAGTAATTGTTGTAGTCGCAGCAATAGTTGACTTTTGACTTTTCAATGCCTTAATTGAATCTATGATACTTAATGAATTTTTCGGTTTATTCATAAATTTACTTTTTAACAACAATAATTTATTTGAATCAATACTCGATTGCAAGCTGTCATGATCCGAGAGAATCTCCGATGTTTGTGATACTGTGTCATAATCATGTATAGTTTGTCTAATTTGTTCAACGTCGTCATTATCATCAATTAAACTATTATCCATATCATTATTCGATTTTGTATAGTTGTGAAGTTTCGACATGGAATTTTGTCGTCTACCACCAACATTATCTTCATCATTCTCCGTTTGTTCTACATCATCATCTTCACCAACATCACCACCATCATCTCCATCCACTTCGTCATCATCATCGTCTATTTTTTCTACCTCGTCAACACCACCTTCATCATTGTTATTGTTGTTCTCAGAGTCGCCATCACCATATTCCCCTTCATCATCACCACCATAAGAGATTGGTTCACTGAAATGAGTAGATTCTATATCAACATCCTCATGAGGCATTAACTGTTCACTAGTATTAAAATATTTACTTGAATCAATAAACAAGACATCTTCCTCACTATTGACATTATTGTTGTTATGATTATTATCCTCATTACTGTATGAAGCAGTTAATTGACTGATATCCAAACTTGATAAAATCGACGAGTTTATTACAGGTTGTTCTTGCTGGTTTGCGGTCAAAATTAAATTTAATAATGGCTCTGAAATGTCCATAGATAACTGGGCAATTGAATTCGTTTGTAATTCATTGAGCTAAAATGTAATTTAAGAAGAAATTTTTAAAGGTGAAAACCAAAAGAAAAATTGTTTTATTATGATCGTTAGACTAGTCCACTTTACCATTACAGTTATTATGCCCACACATTAAAAAGATGTGTATTCGAAGCATGGCTCCACTAAAGAGTAACACTTGTGTGTCCAACAATCAGGTTAGAAGCCTGGTACTAGATAAAGTTGGCAAGTCAGTTGATAAGGCTGACTCCAGTGAACAAGATTTGTTGCGTATCTCCACCAACCACCTACCTTAATACATAGCTCTTTTGAGCGTAAAAGTAAATTGTAAGAAGATAAAACATCAGATCACAGTCACTAACTAGATATGAACCATCTTGGTAAGTATAAACTACTTGGTTGGGGATTGAATGTCACTGACATATAAGTTGGATCCCAATATATGCAAACTGACACAGTCTACTACGTGACCAACAGTACATGTAATCATTCAAAAACACAAACTATTAGATCATTAGTTATCACGTTCTCCGTAAGAGTTAAATGTCTGAATTTAAGTCCATGTAAAGTAAGGAACGTAAGAACCTGCGAAAAATGTGCATTAGCTCACGGTATCGCATAGTGAGATGAAATTATGAAGAAGAATATTAAGGTAGCGGAAGTAGTAATAGAATTAGTAGTGTAAAAAAGCAGTGGCAGAATATGATTCTGGAAGAATAAAACGTATTGAAATAGTTTTGAAACCCAGGAACTAATGGTAAACAAAGAGTGATTGCAACTGCATTACTGTGGCTGATTCTGATCCATATTATCAAACGTCTTACATGTATTAATTCATTTTAGGATAACGTTCGTTTAAAATGTTAAATATATCATCCAACTCCTTAGAACAAAATATATAATTTAATTAATCGACTTTGTGAGAAACTATATGGAATAATGTCAACGCTACTTTGACTTGAAATATTAAAAATCATTATTATACATATGATATATATGTCATCTACAACTTACCTGTTCATCGTATTCCTTGTTGACATCGGTAGTTCTTGAGTTCAACATATTGATCGTAGTTAAACAATCATCAACCTCTTCATTAGTTAAATTATTATTATTATTATTATTATTATTATTATTATTATTATTATTATTATTATTATTATTATTATTATTATTACTGACACCACTCAGTGACCGTGTATGATTTGCACTATTTGTTAAATGATCCCTAATAGAAGTGTTATTTTCATTGTTTATAAAACAACACTGAGATATACAATCATTTCGATCCATGTTTATACAATCTTGATTTTTCATTTCTGGAACAGATGCTACATACTTATTCGACTCATTAGTATAATTATCAGTAAATTCTTCATTAATAGGTTGTGTAAGCAATGATAATGGTGACTGAAGCTGAAGTGGAGAAGGAGTTGTCATAATATATTTTGACTGACTAATTGCAGAAGAAGAAGAAGTGGGATCCGAGAGACAACTTGAAGGTTTTAATGCATCTGTTGACTGTAGACAAATAACAGAAGTACTACTTGTTGTAGTAACAACAGTTGAATTAAAAATATCAGTATTGGGAGAGGGAGCAGTAGCAGTATTAGTAGTAGCAACAGAAATAATATTTGTTTGTCTAGCTACTTCAATAGATAAACGTTCCTTTAATTCAGCTAACTGCGTAAAACAATGGCCTTGATTCGCTTCAAGTTGTGAAATATGCCAATTTTGGTCACGACATTTTTGAAAGTAAGTTGGCGCTCTTACCTAATATTTTTAAAAAGGAAGAAGTTATATCGCTAAAAATTATCAACAACAATAATAATCAATGGTAACTTTCACTACCAATGACTTTATTGAAGCTTTATACATGAAAGACAAATAAATTTACAATTTTATGACCTGTCGATTACAGTAATTATGATGGGAGTTTAATGTATACCGTTCAATTTCACGTCATCCGACAACATAAACTTACTTCAGTTAGAGAACAATTGAAAGACAGAGAGGACTGAATAGCTATTTCAATCCGTCTTAAGTTCCTTGGTTGGGGATACTTACGATCGAGTCAGGTATTGGTTACAGGAACTCCAAACTTTCTGATGGGTCCGTTACCTGTAGACCACTGAGTTTCAACATCAGATGCTCTATCCCTGATTATAAGTTACAAACTGAGATGAAATAGGTGCCTAGTACCCCGTGATCCTAAACAATTCCCCGACTGACATCATTTCGTGATAAAAGCCAACTTCAAATTATACAATCACAACAAATATTCCTCGAGTTCGATAAAATTACATTGCAATTAAGTAAACTGCATGTGATGTTGAATACCTACTTAAACCCAACAGGAAGATATTTAAGTGGGTATTTTGGTATTCTGGCTCAGCGATCATATAACGGTGACCGTCTGCTGCGACTGTGTTCAGACAATTGTTTAGTTTTAGCAAGTACTAATTTTAAGCATAAGGAGAGACATCGTCTAACTTGGAGACGTTTTGCACCAAACCAACGATTGACTCATATAGACCATATTGCCATCAGTCATCGTTTGAGAGGCCCGACAAAAGATTGTCGCTCATTCTGGAATACCTAATTGGACTCCGACCATGCTCTAATACGGGCATGCATCTGCTTGCGCCCCACTGGACGCAGAGAAGCCACACTGAAAAGACCCATTAGAATTGAATTGAGTGACGAGAAAACCAAAAGTAGGTTCCAGGAACAACTGAGGTCACACTTAGGTAGTTCTGTAAACGAGGCCAAACCAGATGTTGCTTGGATAGATATACGAACAGCTGTGGAAACAGCAGCAACATCTATCAACGATTTAAACCAAAGGGTCACGAAAAACAAATGGATTTCTACTAAGTCCACTGCAGCATTTGATTCTGTAGATCGAGGTTCTGTGGCAGTGTATCATTGGAAGTTGTACCTCGGAAGTACATAAACCTTGTGAAGGCTCTTTATTCGAACACTACAAGTCGAGTCAGAACTTATGGCGAACTGCCATCTGCTTTTGCAACCTCAAGTGGTGTCCGGCAAGGTTGTCCACTATATCCATTTTTGTTCAGTCTCATCATAAACCAACTGCTAGAAATAACGCTCTTGTAGATTGAATTTCCAGGGATTGGTCTCCTACCAGGAGGTTCACTTATTCACTGAGGAAATGTCGCCTATGGTGAAGGCGAGATATCCGTCTATCAATAAGAGGGCGAGTATACTGCGCAGCAGTTTGTCCCGTTCTACTTTACGGCAGCGAAACATGGCAATTAATTAAGAGTAGAAGATACCTTAGAAATATTGCTGGCATCTGCTGGGATCAACGGGTAAGTAATAATGAGGTTAGATGCAGGGTATTAGGGAATGATGGTAAATCAGTTGATGAGGTTGTGAATCTTCATCAACTGAGATGGTTGGGCCACGTGTTACGTATGCCTGGACACTACCACCACGCGTAAGGCTGACCAGTGTTGGAGACGGTTGGAAGAAAGATAGGGGCAGTCGAACCAAAGCGTGACATCAGTCTTGGAAGCCACTAACTTCTAGTCTGAGCCATGTTGGCAGATCCAAACTACATGGTTAGGGTTCGCGCGACTATAGTAACCAATGGTTGGACACTGTGCGACATGGCTGAAAATCGATCACAATGGTGTCGGTGTACACACTCTTTATCTTCCCTTAAACTGTGAGATTGAAATCGCTTTATACCTTTCCTTCTACGAACTAATTCTTTCTTCCTGTACTATATCCTTATATTCAATCTTTCTTTTACACATTACTATCATTGAAGTGACTACTTCTATGAATTCGGTGTTCATCTTGTTGTGGTAATGAGGTGTGGCAACTTGAACCGATGCATATATGTGCTTGATCCCACGTTGTACCTGACTGACTAACTTCAATTTTCGCAGTCGCTTGAATAGTAAATAATTTTTATCCTAATATTTCAAACAAATAACTAAATATCTAAATTTTTTCCACATTTTTACAATTACTACAAAACACTGATTACAGTTTCACATTTCCATTGAGTTTTTGCTTATTTTTTTCTATATTCTAGTTTATTCCACCCACGTTTTTGCTACTGATTGCGACTCAAGTTACTTATTTATCGTACGATATTGTATTGAATTGTTTACTTATCTTATGAATAGATAACCTTTTTTTGTTACGCAGACATCCTTATTCAAATTTATCCAAATATATACTATAATCTCCACAAAACCCCTGCTGATATATGTATGTTTGTGGTTGAAGTGGGAAAAAATTTCAAAAATGAGCGGATTATATCGCGCGAATCTCGATTTACCTACGAAGAACAAATTTGTTGATCGTACTTATTGGTTCTCATCAGACCAGATGTGGTGTTGCTTAGTGATGTGATATTTGCATAAATATAAAAAGGGTCCCTTGGTTTTTGTCAACACACACCACCTGTGAAAATGAAGAGATGTTCACCTACCTAACAAAGAACGGGTATAGTTTGTGGTAGTCCGGTATGTTTTACGTTATGCCTATGAGACAGTTAATGAAAGTAGATGTGTAGATGGTAAGTATTTATTTCCGAAGTACTGGATGAACCGACTGAGTATTAGTGAGTTAAGGAATACAGTTTCAGATAGTAAATCAACTGATGAGACTGTAACTTCACGAACTAAGATGGCCAATGTAGGTCACACACTTATCAAATCAATATTCGATGCTACCCGGCATCGAAGGAGATTTAGAACAGGTTAGATTCAGCCAAATAAAAAACATTAATTAATAAATTCAACATCTTTGTTTTTTGTAGTGTTAATTTTTAAACTCGTTGCACGAAGCTAAAATATAGCAACTTAGGTCGAAGGACATTTATGGTTCTCCGTTGTCTAGTTACGGACTTACTGAGTTGATACCTTCCGTATATAAACTGGAAAGTAATGTAAGCAATTAAAAAGTGTAAAACCAAAAGTAAAAATACACAAATTACTTGGAATTTAAGTAGTATCGAGTCTGTTTCACTATTTAAATAACCTTCATTAACTAATAAGTCCAAACGGAAGAAACGATTATAACCCCAACATTCACCAACTTCAAAATGTGAAGCGAATTCACGTACAATATTGCGACTAGGATCACGAGATTGTTGATGAACCATTTCTACACGATATTCATATCTAAAAAAAGAGTAATTATAAGATTTATTTTAAAACAGTGGGATAAACGGCATGTCTTCAATAAATATAATTATTCAATAATTCACGGTGTAAAATGGATGAAAGTATTAGGCGTCTGTACGCATCTTTGTTGAATGTTCCCTACGCATAGGATGAAGAAAGGAAAATAAGGGTTATATACTAGATAGGACAAAACGATAATTTTCATCTTAAGATAATTTGGTATCATCCTTAGTATGTTGAACAAGCAACAATAAAAACAATGAGTGTTTAATATCTGATTTTCAAGTAGTTTTGATGTAGGGCGGATGAAAACATTAAACATTTGTCGTGAACAAGATACGAAATGAAGCGGTGATGTTACACAGTAGACAATTATTGAGAGGACTAAAGGAAACTAGTAATTAAGAAGTCTGGCAGTTGGGATAGAGATGAATCAAAGATCTACCAAAATGACGGGAATAACATTTCAACTGCCCTCTTACTAAAATCGAGTTAGCCACGATCCACAAAAGAATTTGTATGTTACATCCAGATAGTCTTCAACTTTTAGCAAACAAGAAAAAAATTCCCCAAACTTCAAATGAGAAAAAATATCAGAATCTAACGCGTTAATTATGAATATATTTGAAGATTGCAGTAAATGTTTTTTAACTAAACTGAATGAAGTTATCAGTTAGTTCTATATTATTTAATTTCGATTACTGAAGGTCTGTTGTGATAATTACAGGTTAACTAACCCTATTAAACATGACCTATAATGATCGAAAATAGCAAAACTATGGAAAACCAGGAATCTTTGCCCCTTCGTTACAACACAAAAGGCATGAATTACAATTATTCAAATTTTTAATTTTGTTTAATTTCTTCATAAATATGCTGTGTTAAAACGAACATTTGATCAATCCAAAGTTTCGAGGATCGGTCTGTTTCACAGAAAAAGCTTTTAATTAGTCTCGAGAACATAAACAACAAAGTCTTGAAGTTGGAGATCCGAGAGAAATGCAATCTCAAGTACGCTCCGAGTAACAAATGCAGGAAAGTTCTACATACGATTCTCGCGAACCAGGAACAAAACCTGGTTTTCGAATCAGCCAGAATAACTGCTTAGTTTTACAAAAATTTAACCTGCTGACAACCGAAGGGATTACTAGATTGAAGGTATTTAATCACACTGTGGTGATTATAATCTAGCTTAAGGGCAGTACACCTGTTAAGTTGTAAACACCCAGAGAACTAAATAGTTACGCAAGCCCAGTCACCGTATACATCAGTGTGAAGCTAAGGGTGAATCATACAAACACTTGGCATTAGTCTATAATTTCATTGACCTTTGATTTGAAGTGGACTAAACATTCCAGATGTTCTGAATCTGACAAGAAAATCAGATTTAATACCAAATAATTTCACATGTTCCATTTCTTAAATTTTCCTTGTTTCTTTTTCAAATATATAACTCCATTATTTTTGTTTTAAATGACTCATTTTCTTCAAGTTAGTTTGACCGTACTAAAATCACGTTTGAACCGTTTAAGTTAATACGACATTGTATCAGGTCAGACGTTTCGTTATCTTGTAAGTTTGATTTATTCATCTCATTATCGCTGTTACTATTTAGTTTCTTAAATTATTGGTAGAATCCTTCATTGAATAGTCTCATACTTCCGTGAACACAAGCTTCCAATAAACTCTTAGTTTCGACGTCTTGTTTTTAATTTTACAACTCAATGTAATTCAAATTCCATAACTGGTTCTCCAATTCATCAATAAACTATAAAGTTTGAAAGAAACTCGTCATTTACCCTATTCGTACTGAGATCAACTATATAATTACTGAAAATCAATAGAAAATCTTACAATCATTTTGTGATACTATGGAATTAGATAGTTGTTGTACACAACAGACCCCTATATACAGTCAGAATTAGTAATTTCCATTTCCATAACTAATACGTTATTAGTTAGTCAGCAGATTAGTTGGAAATGATTGCTAGAACTTCTTCAACTATCAGTGTAACAACTTTTAAACATTTATCTAACTCATTTACTAACGAGTAACAAGCAGTTAATTATCTAGCTTATTGCTTTCAACAAGGTAATCTTAGCTACATAAATGTTTTTCAGTAATTAAATAAGCCATAAAGAAAGTAGAATCTGATACAAATATATATCTGACAATTGAAAAGTGAATTGTATATGTTCGAGGATTATCAGTTTCGCGTTTATTTCATCTAAGACCTTGAACCCCTGACTGAAATAGTTGTCAGGACTTCAACCATACTACATGCACCTTCTGACATGGGTTAGTTAAAAAAACAGTACATTTTTTTTATTTGGCAACCAAATGACCAGGTATAGCCGAGGGTGGGGAGAGTCAGCTCTCACTCTAGAAATGCTCTCACATGGCCACGAGTATACAGCCACTGCCAGAAAGCTCCTACTCACTGCCTTATCGCGGTTGGGGTTTGTTAACGAAATTGAAAGGACGAAAAGTGAATGTCCAGTGCTTTAACAGGGTTGGTGGATATCGTGGATCCACCTAGGGAAGTCGGAAAACCTTGATTCCAAACCAATGGTGCACATAGGCTCCAGTATCCTGAAGGAATAAATGGCATATGAGCAAATCGTTGGTCACTGGCTACCACGGGACTGCGACTCCTGACGTTGCTCCACTGCCTTATGGATCAGACTTTTGAGTCGAAGGCTTAGGATGTGACCCCCTGAGAAAACCATCTGCTTCGGTCTGGGTACATGGGCAGTATCACAGCCCACATAAAAATCAAGTGACTTGTGTGGCGCATATGTATTCGATGCCCACTGTACCAATATTTATGTGTTCAAATAAATAAAATGATCACATTCTAACCTACTAACGAATTTGATAGTGTTCATGAAATTATCGATTTTCTTTATTATGACTAAAAGTCAAGGCTGAACTTATCTCACAGTACTATTAACCAATCACTACTGTTATTGCTAATCACCTTTGTCTGAATTTCACATCGAACGATATTTTTCTAGACTTATCGATTGAAATCACCCCAATGACTCATTGTTGTTCTGCTGAGCCGCTGTGTTGGTTAAAACTAACTGGGTGGAAAAAGGCGAAAATGAATCCGATAAAAATCATGTAAACGATTGTAAAGTACAGCATACAGGACAGATCCACACACACACACATACAAGTTAAAATATAAAGCCCCCCTGCAGTACACGTGATTGACCTTGTTACTTTAAAGTGCACCATAAATGTTATGATAAATTACCTTGACCCTATACACAGTTTGATTATGTTTACGGTTATTATAATAAGATTAGTTTAATCAATGAGAAGACGGAATTGATATGAAAAAAATTGATGTATTTGAGCTGTACATTTTAAACAATCTGGTCACTTCTATACTTTTTAGAATGGGTTTTGTGGAGATTTCTAGAAATTTCACAGGTTGAAATCATGAGTCAATTGAAGCTAGACCACCATGGAAAGCCTGGAAGCACTGGACGACCGTTTCGTCCTAGTATGGAACTCCTCAGCAGCACGCACCCACGATCCCGCACCCCGCGCGATCCGAACCCAGAACCTAATGGTTTAGCGCGCGAGCACTCAACCACTAGACCACTTATACGGCATCCAACGGTGTTAATGTCTAATTTCAACCAATCCACGAAGTTGCGCCAACGTACACCATTGTCTTCAGTGAGCTAGACATTACCGCGGTTGGATGCCGGATAAGTGGTCTAGTGGTTAAGTGTTCGCGCGCGAGACCAGTAGGTCCTGGGTTCGAATCCTGCGGGGTATCCGGGTCGTGGATGCGCACTGCTGGGGAGTCCCGTACTAGGACGTGGACGGCCGTTCAGTGTTTCCACACCACCCCATGGTGGTCTAGCTTCAAATGATACATGATTTCAACCTGTGAAACTTCTATACTTGTCAAGGCATTTTATGTGAAAGTAAAGAAAGTGATAATTGTAAATAAAGCAGAGAGGAAATTAATATAGTAAAAATATATTACATTTTTTAGATCAACTCTATTTTCTATTGTTCTATCAAGATTTTCAATTAGCCAATAGTGTGATGACCATATTTTTATAAAAGAAGTGGATACATATTCTGCTTGATGATTCCATGTATATTCAAATGATTCATACCACTACATGGAATCCATTGATTCATAGTGATTGATATGACAGGATGAGAAGACAAAATTACATTCTTTTACCCATTGAGGCTTCTTGTTCACCATTACTTCTGGTAGCACTAAGCAACAATGCCAGAATGTTTGGGATGCGCTTCTCTCCCTCTAAATGCAAGTTGTTGCTTCAGGACTGGTCTGCATCAACACCTAAACTAAGGATAGGGAGTGAAGTAGTCGAACGCGTTGACAACTTCACTTATCTTGGAAGTCTGATCAGACGTAATGGGTTGGTGTCTGACGAAATCTCAGCACGGATTCGAAAAGCTCGCTTGGCTTTTGCCAACTTACGTCACCTTTGGCGAAGGCGAGATATCCGTCTATCAATAAAAGGACGAGTATACTGCGCGGCAGTCCGTTCTGTCTTACTTTACGGCAGCGAAACATGGCCTTTAAGAGTAGAAGACACCCGTAAGCTACAAGTATTTGACCACAGATGCCTTAGAAATATTGCTGGCATCTGCTGGGATCACCGGGTAAGTAATAGTGAGGTTAGACGCAGGGTATTAGGTAACGATGGTAAATCAGTTGATGAGGTTGTGAATCTTCATCGACTGAGATGGTTGGGCCACGTATAACGTATGCCTGAACACCGATTACCACGACGTGCAATGCTAACCGGTGTAGGGGATGGTTGGAAAAAAGTTAGGGGCGGCCAAACCAAAACGTGGCATCAGTGCTTGAAGTCACTAACTTCTAGTCTGAGCCATGTTGGCAGATGCAGACTACTTGGTTGGGGTCCGCGTGGCTATCGTAACCAATGGTTGGAGACTCTTGGTGACATGGCTCAGAATCGATCACAATGGCGTCGGTGTATACACTCCCTGTCTTCCCTTAAACTAAGAGATTAAAATCACTTCATATCTTTCTTTCTACGAACTAATTCTTCCTTCCTATACTATATCCTTATTGCAACCTTTGACCTAACCACTCCTATGAATCCGGTGTTCATCTTGTTGTGCTAATGAGGTATGGCAACCTGGACCGATGCACATATGTGCCTGGTCCTACGTTGTAGCTGACTGACTGACTTCCGTTTTTAATTCAATGTGATAATTACTCAGTGTAGTATTTGTTTTGTTTTCCAGTGTGATGTCATTTTAAGATACAACATTCTTCTATTTAATTAACATGTGATTTGCTACAACTCTGGTTATTTTTCATACGTGATTTATGCTTGTGAAGCGAGTTGCTTTCGAGTTTTAACGTGAACGATAATCTTAAGTGTGAGAATAACCATACATCATATGAATGACGAAAATGTTGTGAATACTTGGAGATAATGGAAGTTAATAGCTATAATTATTAAAGCTTTAGGATTGTCGGAGAGAATCATATGCTGAGGATTACCTGTTCATGATTAATGCAATTTATTTCTACAAAAGCTTCATTAAATAAGAACATTCATGTTTCTCTATGTGAATTACTAATTTAAATTCATAAATCTTACTATTCTGCAAGGTTACCAATAAAAATTTGTTTCATTTAATACCAGAAGGGGTTTCGAGTATATTATAGTAATTTTAATATTAATAGTTGAGATCACTAGTCAATTGAAGCTAGGCCACCATGGAAAACCTGGAAGCACTGGAAGGCCGTCTCGTCATTTCGTGGGATTCCTCAGCAGTGCGCATCCACGACTCTGCCTCGCAAGAATCGAATCCAGGACCTATCGGTCTCGCGCGCGAATGCCTAACCTCTGGATCATTGAGACAGTATCCAGTGGTGTTATTGTCTGAATTCAACTAATCCACGAGATTGAGCGACACACCTACCATTGTCTTCAGTGACTTACCATCTCACAACAGACCTGGTTGAACTCCACCGGTCACTGTTTCTCCCTAGAACTCCAGGAAAAACGTCTTGAACCCAGTCACTAGTGATAAGTATCAGAACGGGTTTTGTAGATATTATAGAAATTTTAATGGTTGAAATCATGAGTCAACTGAGGCTAGACCACCATGGAAAACCTAGAAGAACTTCATTTAACAATAACTGAGACTTCATTTAAGGAATTTCTTGACACAACTTTAGAAACTTCACGTAACAGCATATATGAAGGAAAATCAATCCCTCTCCGCAGAGAATCAATTTCAAACCTAATTAAACAACACTAATATAAATAATAATGATCTGGAATACTACTCAGTTGTTTGATTATCATAGTCAATGAACTCTTGATGCAATTTTTAGGTCACGTGATTCATGTATGTGTTGGATTAATGATGAGGTCAGTGTTCTCGCTAGAAAAATAGAAACAACTAAGAAAAGATGAAAACAAGTAAGATAATTTTAGAGATAACAATGGATAGAATAAAACAATATAAACTACTGGATACAGTGTGATACTAGTCAAGTAGCTAACATAAAACCAAACATTTAAAATGCTGCATTCAAAAAAATCGGTGGTATGTCCTCATGAGTAATAAAACAGTCAAAGAATCAAAATGAGGAATACTCACTTGGATGCTTCTAATAATCCAGCAGACAATTCTAAAAACACCGATAAATAATTACCACGTACAACACCATTCCCATCTGGATAAACTTTAAGACGCCAGCTTAAACCACCTACATGTAATGGTTGACTATATACAGGATCAGCTCTTTGTTTCATAATGGAATAAGGCTGGAGTGTGAATGTACTCGATTCATAAGGAGGTACAATTTCACTAAAAATAAGTGATATGGAAAAAAGACAAAAACATTAGAAGAACAGAGATAACAAAGCGAACAAACATATCAAAGATATTCAACCTAATGCATTGCTTCCTAACCTATAGGACGACAGCCAAAAACAAACCTCCATGCAATTAGTTCTCTTTATGAATTTAAATAAAGCCAAAACGAATATGGATGCAGAATAATATGAATTCACTATATTTCGTGGTTTCTCATCAGCTGCTTACAACCAAATATGTATTGAAATTTTACATTGAGGTAAGATTTGGTGTGGGACAAGGTTATTATTGGTAACCTTTGTCATTCCAATTCTTGCCTTTCTCCAAAAACAAACTTTCGGAACGTTTGAAATTATCGAGAAGAGATACAGAAAATAATTAGGATAAGGTTACTTCAAGTAATTAAATAACTTATTACCCTATGGCGTGGCGTCTTTTTTAGTGTTTGACGCTATACTACTTTCCGTTAATAAATAGTCTGAACTAGAGTTAATATCTTTTCAAGATGTGAGTATCGCAGTACACGCCATTGGCTTGTTGAAAGGAGATTCTTAATACATTCACTTATTATCTTACATCGATATATCAAGTCACTGAATAAGCCATAGATCATCCCTTTCAAAGGCTTAGTTACTTGTTATGGAAACTAAATCGGTCTCGGGAGATTCGTCTACTTGTAAAAACGTTGCGCAATCATTTGGAGACAATAATAATTGACTAAAAACTATGATAGTGAGTTACCCATTAAGAAAACAGTTAGTCAAACTTTTAAGAACCACATAATTTAAATACATTTTCTATCACACCACTTTTTAACTCATAATGTATGCCGCAGTCTAGTATTAATTTTAAAAAACACTTCTAGTGATACTACAGTATGAAAATTGTTGATACATGATGTTTGAGTATTAGAACAGTCCAGTTGTTTGTTAATTTCATGATTCACCTTTGAGAAATTAATTGAAAGCTTTACTAGAAAAGCTATTGACCAACGGTTTCATTATATTATGGTGTTTTAAACCTTTTTGAATCATAACCTAGAAAATTCAAATTCCATAAAAACTACATGATTTTATCAAGCACGGGGTTGTCAGCTTACTTTATTCTCATTCAACTTTGTCAAAAACATTCTTATTGAGATAACACTAGGATCACCTGAATTCGACTCCCAATAGGAGATTCTCTTGCTGACGTGAAATATGCAGATGACACAACCCTATTTGACGAAGATGCTGAGAAAATACAGTCTTCTGATCGCCTTAAGCAACAATGCAATCATGTTTGAGATGCGTTTCTCTCCCTTTAAATGTAAAACTTTGTTGCAGGACTGATCTTTATTAACGCTTCCATTAATTATAGGCAATGAAAAAGTTAAGCGGGCCGACCACTTGTAGTGTTGCACATGAAAAAATTATTTTATCAAAATCTAACAGTGCTATTCTAATTTGAATACAATCGAGCGTGTTCGCTGTGTTGTCTTCAATCCTGATCCAATCATAACTATAAAAGTATGCACTAGTTAGCTCTGAGATTTACTGGATCGCATATTACATTCTAAACAACTAATACTTTGAAGCATTTTGCCAGCTCACTTTCCCCTAGTGGGTTGGTTTCTGATGAAATCTTGGCACAAATTCAGGAAGCAGGGTTGGTTTCTGACAAATTACGTCACTGCTGTTCCAACAGAGATGTCCATTTACCACCCAAAGGACAGGTTTGTTGCTCAGAAGTCCACTGTGTTCTACACTATGACCGTGAAATGTGGCATTTACAAATTAGGGCTATTATTGTATTACTGATACTTGTTCATAGATACCTTCGAAGAACTGCTTGCATATGGTAATACTACCGAGTAACCAATCCTGAGGTTAGAACAGGGGTATTAGGTAGGGATAACAGGTTGTGTACTGTGTATGACTAAGTGACCGCTACGTTGTTAATTTATTTAAATCATGATACACTGTCATTCGTAACAAATTTTATAAGTGAATAACACTTTACTCACAAGTTTAATGCTGCAATAATTAACGTCCGATAGCGCATAACTATTATTGGATCTGATTAGATGAGATAGATAACAACCAATACAATTTAAAAACAATACACTAATTTAATCACCTTACAAAGTCAGCTGGTACAGGCGCACTAACAAACGAAGCCATAGGTTTACAATGTACATCACTAAGCAGTGCTAAAATTTCAGATGAACGTTCTACCATTTCAGACGGTTTCGCAACATCTACCGCATATTGAACATCATGTAAAAGATTTTCAAGTGATTCAATTTCCTAATAAATAAAACAAAATGAAAATTTTCGAAAGCAATGGAGAAAATGTACATGATATCCATATATGACAAGCTAAGAAAGTGGTATTTTCTTCTAGTTGAAAAAAATTATTGAAAATCAATAGGGTACGAAATAGATTATTTCAGTTTATATTAATTCCTCATGAATAAACACTGGTTCTCCGAGAACTAGAATCAGAAACGATCGAACACTACAGGAGACCTTTAAGAATCAACATCCCTAATAAGCCAACACAATGACTTCAATTTGTTTTAAGACAAACTGAAAATAATAAAATCAAAGGTCTGTTGTGAGATAGGAACTCACTGAAGACAATGGTGTACGGTGGCGCAACTTCGTGGATTGGTTGAAGTTAGACATTAACACCGTTGGATGCCGGCTCAGTGGTCTAATGGTTAAGTGGTCGCGTGCGAAGCCAGTAGGTCCTGGGTTCGAATCCCACGGGGGGCGGGTTCGTGGATGCGCACTGCTGAGGAGTCCCAAACCAGGACGAAACGGCCGTCCAGTGCTTCCAGGTTTTCCATGGTGATCTAGCTTCAATTGGCTCATGATTTCAACTTGTGAAAATCAAAGGTAGACTAGTGAGTTGTCATTTATAAAAAGGAATTGAGCCAAAGGCAAAAAACGTTACACTGGACGAAGTGAGTGATCTCGTTCAAACGTACATTAACATTGACTAGCAGCCCCACACGATAAAATATGTTATTAGTTTTGTCGATGTACGCAGAAATTTAAGAACATAAATTCTATTGAAAATGTTAAAAGTTTGAACAGGGAAATTTCCAGAAGTATGTAATACAGATCAACTCCCAATCGGTAAGCGAATGGACAATTTACCAATCCATATAGAAAAAGTGAGTAGACTAAAGATTAAGAGGTTAACCGGACAGAAAAGTCGACGAGAATGTAAAGACACATGAAAGTGAAAAAATCTGAATAGACAACCAGTCATAAACAACATTAACAGAGAGGACTGATTTTATGTTTGTTGAGTGTAATTTGAAAAACAAATTTAACTCACTTGAAATAATTGACTACGTTGACTCATTAGAGTAACTAGTTTCGATTTTAGTTGTGAATCTAAACGCGCTACCATTAATTCAACTGCATTGCGTAATTCTCGAACACGTTCTTCTTTGGCTTGTTTTACAGCCTGTACATTCTTCTCCTATTTCAATAACAATAATCATTATTATTATCAAAATAAAATTAAAAAGGAGCAAAACTATTCGATCTAGGGAACTCGAAAAATAATTATTATAAAAAGAGAAAGAAAATGACCAAGCTGGTAAGTCAATAAATCATAGGTTAAATAGGACCCAGTAATTCTTATCAACCCAAGTTGCCATACCTAATATATAGCAAACAAGAGGAGGAAGAATAATGTGTAGTTCAGTGAGAAACTAAACACAAAGAACATGGTTCAAAAAAGCTAATTAATCTGGAGGGATGAAAAGTGCAAAATAACAGTAAGCTAAAATTTAGAAGATAAAGAATGAATGTGACAGCATTGAGGTCAACTTAACCTTCAACCATTGATTGCAAACTTAGTATGATAGTTTACAATTTCGCACACTGCACAGACTAACAGTCAATGACTTGTGGGACTGGCGTCATGTTAGTTTGGCTGTTAATAGCCTTTCTTAAATTATTACCTATTCCAGGTGGAACTCCATGTCAAAATAAGCAAGGGTTGTTTAGTGTAACTAACTCAGTGTATGAAAGTGTACAGTTCACGTTAACAATAATAATAATGATTAATAATAATAATGACTAATAATAATAATAATTGCGTGTGAATAAAAAGGTGTAGTTAGAGAGGTGTTACCAGGTGAATTATGAAAAGAAATTTATGTGAATTGAGTAAGATAAATGTGTAAATTAAGAATTGGGTAAAGCATAAATAAACATGGAGGCAGTTAAGCACAAACGTTATAAGCAAAGAAGAATGTTGGCTAGCAGTGGAATCCAGTACGCGCGTTTCGTCCTATTTGGGACTCGTCAGCTGGACCTACCTGCATCCCAAAGTTGACGTTCACTCCGTGACTCGGTTCCAGCACAAGGGTATACAATGTCTGATTCAGGTATGCCATTATCTAATCATTAACCAAAGTAAACATGGAGGTTGAACATACCTCCTTTGGTCTTCTAAAGTTAATTCTATTTTTTCAACGTATCATTGTTTAACTAACTAAAAGGGCTTATTTTGGCCATTGCAGTACAATAATTATGTACTTATAACTATTAAGTCTGATGACGAAGTTATTGAAAACAATTGTTCGTCCTAGAATTCTTTGTTAATCGTTGTCGACAGATCACAGTCAATTGACCAACAGATGTAATATTCAGTTTAATGTTAAGACTGTCAAAACGATTATTTATATGTATAGTGATGTTTTTGAGTTCGAATAATAAAATATATTGAGGTAATCTTAATGTTCTGATTGTTGGGCTAAAAATAGGTGAATTCCACTTTGAGATATCGATTATTAGCACATAGAGCAGTTAGGTTACGGAAACAGAATCACTCACATATCCCTAGATAAATTACCAAGTACTAAATGGAAGAGATGACAATAGAAATCATTACGGACTTGGCAGTACTTAAGCGAAGAATTATGCAAACATAACAAAATTTTTATTTTCTCGAGTCTTTTATATGACCCTAATTGAATCACTAGATATGATTCCACCAATACGAATCCGGTTTGTAATACGCTAAGTCAAGTATGCTTTCCGCTTTAGACCGACGACCTTAGCTTTGATTAATTACAGTGACTGACATCAACCAGCTTTCAGCAGCAACCAAGATAATTCTCAACGCTTATTGGTGCAGGATGCATCCTTTCCTCCTGTCCGGTATTGAGTCCAAAGTAAGAAAACGACGAGCTGAAAACCTTTTATCGTTATATTTCAGACACTCATGGGTTTATGTACATAAATTAACAAACGTCACTGTCCGGCAAACCAGAAATAATAATTCATGCACAACCAAGCCAAGTGATAGAACAAAGGCAAAAGGTGAATAACTAATCAGGAATAATGAAGGAACGGTAAAAAAATAAAACAGTAGTTAATGAGTACAGGGGAAGCTTACGACAAGGGGAATATGAAAATATAACAATTCAGTCGCTAAATGATTATATAGTAAAAATGTATGAAGATTCTCCGTATTATTCTACCCGTACTAACAAAAGTAATAACGTAATTTGTTTAAGCTGTTGCTCAGGATTTTGCTGAGATAATTAGCGAGTTTTGACGACTGATTATGACAGTAGGAAGACGAACTGACGATTATCTAGGAGCCTGGATTTATCAAGGCATGGTTATCGTCACAATCTAAAAAATATCTAATAGACAAACAACAAGTTGTACAAGTATTTCAAAATTAGTTTTGAAGAAACGGTATGTGATGAAAAGTCAGAGCAGTTAAAAAGTCAACTGTGAATTGGAGATTTTTGACGTAACATGTTTAAATCTATACAAATATGGTTACTACGGTCGTTATATTATCAACAGTTTAAGATCTAAAAGACTTTCTCGTTCATCATGTACAAGCTTGTTAAACACGAAAAGAAATCATTTGGATATCTTTCCACCACATACAGATTTTTACCATTACTAGGAAGGTTTCGACATTTTATTTGATATCTGGAATAATATACTTTGTTTATGTAAACTGTATTCAACTTACATACATCTGTCAACCCTAGTGGAGGTGCACGAGTCCACGATCAGGATTCTCCATGTAACTCCGTCCTGTGCAATCCTTTCCAGCTGTTATTCGTCCTTTTCATATCTGCTTCCAATTCCCAACGTAGTGTGCTCTTTGGCCTTCTTCTTTTCCGTTTACCTTCAGGATTCCAAGTTGGCGCTTGCTTCATGATGCAGTTTAATGATTTCCTAAGTGTGTATCCTATCCACTTCCAACGTCTTTTCCTACTTTCCTCTTCGGCTGAAAGCTGGCTTCTCTCCCACAGTAGACTGTTGCTGATGGTATCCAACCAACGAACATTGAGTATCTTGCGTAGACAGTTGTTCATAAATACTTGTACCTTTTTGATGATTGTTGTGGTAGTTCTCGAAGTTTCATCTCCGTACAGTAGAACTGTCTTGATGTTCGTATTGAAGATCTTATCTTTGATGTTGGCTGACAGTTGTCTGGGGTTCCATGTTTTTCAACTGCAGAAATGTCACCCTTTGTCAATGCTTGCCTTCACATCTGCATCAGATGCTGCTTGTTAATCGATGGTGCTTCACAGGCACATGAATGTTTCCACCTCTTCTAGAGTTTCTCCATCAAGTGTGGTCGGTTTGGTGTTCTCTGTGTTGTATTTGAGGATTTTGCTTTTTCCCTTGTGTATGTTGAGGCCTACTGATGTAGAGGCTTATGGTACACTGTTTTTCTTGACCTGCATCTGTTAGCGTGTGTGGTCTAGACTAGCTGTGTCATCTGCAAAGTCCAAATCGTTTAGTTGCATCCAATCTGTTCATTGTATTCCGTGCTTCCCCTCAGATGTGGAGGTCTTCATAATCCAGTGAATCACCAGAAGAAAAAGAAAAGGGGAGAGTAAGCAGCCCTGCCTGACTCATGTCCTCACATGGAATACATTTCTCAGCTGTCATCCATGCATGACTTTGCAGTGTAGTTCGTCGTATGAATTCCGTATGATGTTGATGATCGTCTCAGGTACAACATAGTGTCGAAGAAGGTTCCATAAGGTTCTCCTACCTCGGCTGTCAAATGTTTTCTCATAGTCAAGGAAGTTGATGTATAGTGATTCAGTCAGTCAGTAACAACGTAGAACTTCGTACGTACGTACATCAGTTGCCACAACACATTAGCACACAGATACAATTGTCGATTCAAATCCCGTAGTGGTAGAGGTAGTAAAAGTATAAGCTGTAATCGGAAAGATTAGGGCTTGAAGATGTTACTCAAAGAGTACCATCCAGTTAAATAAATTTGGAAAAAGCAAAAAAGGGACATGAATAATTCAGAAGATTAGAATTTGGGAGAACACAAAGAGTGGATGCATCTACGTTATTGCGAACGATTTTGAGCCATGTCATTCAAGGTCTCTAGCTATCGGTTGCTATCGTCTTGCGGATCCCAACTGGGTAGTCTGCACCTAACAACATGGCTCAGTCCACTTGTCAGTGATTTCATGGATTTGTGCCAAGTTTGAGTCTGGCCGCCCCTAGCTTTCTTCCAATCTGCTCCTGCACCATAAAACATCGCACGTAGAGGCAGTCGGCGGTTGAGCATACGTAACACATACCATCTCAACTGATGAAGTTTCACTACTTCATCAACCGATTTGCCATCCTTACTTAATACCCGTTTCATAACAGCTTCATTACTTACTCGGTGGTCCCAGGATATATGAGCAATTGTTTGAAGACACCTATGATCGAATACTAGTAGCCTACGAATATCCTTTACTCTTACCGGCTATTCAACTGATTGTTCAACGATGATCCTGAGTGTCACGATTTCGTCTGTGCACAACCGATCCGTATGGAATCCCGCCTGTTGATCTCGAAGTTGGACATCTACTGAATTTTCACCTGGTTTAGTAATACTCTGTTGAGAACTTTTCCTGATACCTATAATAGGGTGATGCCTCTGTAGTCCTCATATTTGTTCAGATTTCCTTTCTTTGGTATCTTGATGAGGCATCCTTCTTTCCAGTCCGTCTGCACTTATTCTTTCTCCCAAATCTTCCTGAATAGAACATGAGACATGCTTGCAGTTACTTCTATGTCTGACTTCGGTGCTTCGGCTGGTATTTTGTCAGGTCCTGCTGCTTTCCCACTCTTGATTTGTCTGATGACCGGCGGTCCTGATTTCTTCGATCGTAGGTGGAGAACCAACTATAGGAAAGTTTGTGTCTGCTGCTTTGATGTCCGGTGGGTCCAGTATATTCAAGAATTCTTTATAGTGTCCTATCCACCTGTTATATCTAGAGCTTATGTTCTTGATATGACGCGTATAACTTGAGCACTTGAACGCTAGAACCCTTCCAAATCGCAATGAGAAGACTGAAGACTAGTGAAAGGAATGTTATTCCAGACGGTGTCAATTATAATACAAAACTTAGATATTTATAGTTTTGAGTAAAAATGAGATCATAATTACAGTCCTCCAATCCATATACAGTGGTTTATTAGCATTGTCCAATTGGGAAGCTACATGTAGGCATTCTAGAATTCTTCTAAAAGGTGATTGGATGGAATATCTTCGGCTCTTTCTGAGCTTCTTACAGCTTCCTCGAGTTCACCCGTGGACCGTCCTCACGCCACTCTTTCCTCTGTTCTCGAATGACAGTGATTGGCTTGTCTCCTTTATCCTTGATTGGTCTCTCTTATTTACTGTAGTTCCCTGCTAGTTCCTTCGTCGTATCACATAGTTGTTTCATATTTCCTTCTCTTGCAGCTTTTCCCGTTGTCGTTGCTAGGTCTCCAACACATTTCTGCTTTTCGGCTATAATATTCCTCTTGACTTTCTTGTTTGATGCTCTGTATTCGGTGTGTCTTGATTTTCTCTGCTATTGTTCGGCTATTGTCAATTGTTAGGTTTAGTTCTGATATTCTAATCTCACTTTTCATACAATTTTAATCTATCATTTAATTTGAAGATAATTTAGGATACTAACAGGTGGCGGACTATTGAAAACCAGAGATTACTAGATGACCGTTTAAAAATGTTCGCCAACGACAAGTGGAACCTTAGAATTTGCTGAAAGTACTATGCATTTGAAATTGCAACTACTTTGTGATGACAGCACAAGATGTATTGACTGTTTCATTTTTCACATGCTTGACTTGACTACTAACAATACCTATTGATAGTGTTCTTAGAAAACAGTAATAACAATTAATTGACCGAAAGTTTGAGAGATGAAAAAAGCAACAACAACAAAAACAATGTAACAGAAGAACGAAAGAAACACCAACTTACAACATCTTGAAGTAATGATATTAATTCTAAATGTCTACGTTTAAATTGATCCATTTCATTCTTTATCTGTTTTACATGTTCATTATAAACATCATCTAATGGACGAAATGAATGCTGTTCATGATCATTATCAAATAATGCACATTGGTGACAGATAGCATAGCCACATGTTGTACAAAATACAGATAAGCGTTCATTGTGCAATTCACAACTTGAAACAATCCAATGATGTAGAAAATTTATTCAATTTAATCCCAATTCAGAAGAAAACAATGGGGATGAAGAGAAAGAAAATAATTTGTTGTTATTGATAATAAAATGGAAATAGTTTAGTCAATTATCTTGTATATATCATAAATCTCATGACGGACTGAGGGGTTAGACAATTTTTTTTTCCTAGTTTGAAACATTTATTCTCCCGATGTGCACTCACACCATACAGAATCGAAACCACGGCATAATACTATTACTGAGCACAAATTCTGTGTGAATTGCAACCCCCGATTTCACGCCATTTAGAAAACACCGTGATTAATATCTGATATCACCGGAAGGTTTCTGTTCAACTTTCGAATTAGTGGTTTCATATGTAATGATTCATCATTAGAAGTTTGGAAAAAATTCACCGCACAATGATAAATTAGTGAATATAAGACTGTCATTCACTAAAGTGGATCTGTAGAGAGGCTTATAATGCGTAAAGATAATAAAAACCGATAGAATTTGACGTGATATAGAAATGAAGCGAATTCAACTTCCATAGCTTAAATTGTAGAGTACAGAATACATGATCCAAAAGATAATAGTCAAATATAGGTACTCGTCTAACAATTTCTTTTAATTTCACTTCAACTGAGAGAACTTCAAAATACCAGCTAGTGTGAATTCGAAAGAATGATCGTAAATGGGAAGACAAAGTTGGAGATTATTTTTGAGCATTTCCAGAAAAATACTGAAGAGGTTAGTCTGGATGCAAATTATAAACCAAGGAACAAACCCGAAATAAGGAAATTAATGAACATCATTCTTCGTTGACTAACTCTAATAACATCAGTTGCAAAATGAAAAGCAAAGTACTCGATCCACTAAGACAGAAAAGTGAAGAACAAATTATCAAGGCAGATAACAATATACGAAAAACCGATTTAGAATATTCCCTTTGAGTGAGTAATCTGAAAAGGCATAATCAACAAAATCGAATCGACTCAAAAAGTCGACTAATGAATGGGGAGCAACCAATCATAGTTAATGAAACACTATGTACTAACAATGAGTAAAATCTGAATAAATTCAGATAGCTAAAGAGGAGGCTGAACAATACAAGTAAACTAAGAGACATAAATTAAGCGAAAAACAGCTGTTTAATACTTGATTTTTAAGCAAACGAAGGTATTCACACATGTATCTACGTATATTTCTACGGAAGGAATAATTATATGCGGTATACACCGTCGTGAGAAACAGCAGCACTCAACGTGATCAGCGTGTGATTGAGAGTAGTGAGAACAACTAACTCAATTAAGAGCACATTTCAATCTAATTAACAACTTCGCGACCCTCCCCCCCCCGCTATGAGCGAATCAGTTTAGTGATACATTTCTCCAAGTTATGACAGACAATCATGACTTTTGTGCCAAATGAAGTTGGTAAATCTGGTATGCCGAACTCTCAAAGTACTAACTACTATGTTGGCTTTTAGACTCGCACAATCTTTATTACTCGAACCCCGCACGAAGAAAAAAGACAGAAATATGAAGAAATTTCTACTTTAAAGGTTAGGTTAGGTATAAAAAAGAGTATTTATAAGGTTACAAGTGACCTTAGGATTCCAAAAGCTACCAAAATTAGTAACGAATTTGGCATCTTTTTAATCAGATTAAAGAAACGTCTAAAGAGATTTTTAGAATTTTCTGCAGTACTTTGCATAAATAATGAGCGACCGAAAGTGATTTAGTTCTATTTTAAGGCTTTTATGGTGATTCTCGGAGTTATACATGTCCAATAATAAAAGTGGGAATTCATAACATGTTGGTGTTACATAATTTTCACCAACGGGTTTCAATGAAACGGCTCAGTAGTAACTTGCTGACTAGTTTTTGAAGTCGGTCGTCGAAAGGTTAACGGTAATGGTCTTATACTTAATCCGTCTAAATGTCAAGCTGTTAACTTTAGCATGAGACACGTACGGCATCTAAACACCATTTTGAGATCTCATAATGCTAGTGCCATTGGAGACTCTTTGATAAACACAGTGTCGAAGGTCAATTATCTTGGTGTTACATTTTCCTCTGATCTCTCTTGGTCTTCTCACATTTTATTGTTATCGAAGAAGGTTTTACGTCTGACTACATTTACTCTTACAATTTGTCAATTCTTGCATATTACCTATTATTCTTTACTGTCCTCCATTATTCTTTCCCGGGCTTTTGAGAAAAGACTCTGCTGTATTGCGGAGAGTGCTGAAGGCAGTTAGCAAGGTGTGTGGTGAATCTGTCAAGGTCATGATTAATATGGTTGTGGATAGATATCTAAAGTCATGTAAACTCCTGGCAGGTTTTATTTTATCAGATACTAACCATCCCCTTTACTCTTATATTTCTCCTTGTATATCTTCTGGTAGAACGAGACGTAATTACATTAAAATCCATGCACGTAAGCAAAAGTATAAAAGTTTTATAATACCTTACCTAGCAAATATACTCAGTGACGAACAAGTTGTTAGAGTTAACCTAGTCAATAACCTGCATTCTTAACATGTCTCTAATTTGAAAAGTTGTACAGTTTTTCGGTTTTTTAAGCCCTTTTTTGCATAAGAAACTTGTTGAAATACCCTGTGCTGAGAATTCTATATTGTACCAAAATATAATATTGAATAAAGACATTAATAATAATAATAATAATAATAATAATAATAATAATAATAATAATAATAATAATAATAATAATAATAAGCAGTGTTCATTTAAGTTTTCATGAAATAGGAATTCCATAAAACGTTACCGAAAACCTTTTTACCGGATCGCCCAATTTAAAATACATGTGTGAATAATGTTTAGTCTCAAATGAATATATCAGTGAACGATATTCTGAGACAAGTCAATGGAAATTTAATTAAACAATATAATTCTTATCATGGACACATATTAGTTAGGCAACCAGTGAAAAGCAGGAAGCACTAGACAGCTACAATCAAATCTCGAGGTTAATGACCATTAAAATTCAAACATGTTGGGTAGAAATAGTTATCCACAGCAGGCGATAGATGACAGCTCAATATTCCGAATTGATTGGAATTAAACGGGCATACCGTTGCATGTCAGATAAGCAGTATAAATGTGAATCTCTCGATGCGTTATCAAAGACCCTGGGTCCCATCCCCAGTGAGGTCGTGGATGTCCACTGCTAAGGAGTCCGCAATCACTCTCGAAATACTCTCAAACGGCCGCGCATATACAGCCTCTGCCAAGGAAGTCCTACTCATTGCCTTCTCGTGGCAGGGGTGTTGTTTACGAAAATGAGAGGACGAAAAGCGAATGTCCAGCGCTTTAACCGGATCACAAACCAACGGTGCACATGGGCTCCAGTATCCTGCGGGAACAAATGGCGTATGAACCAATCGTTGGTCACCGGCTTTCATGGGACTGCATCTCCTTACGATGCTCCACTGCCTTGTGGGTTAGACCTTCAGGTCAAAGGCTCGGGGAGTGGCCCCCTAAGATAACCACCTGCTTCGGTTTGGGCACCCGGGCAGTATCACAGCCCACACACAAACGATGAACTCTATGTCTATGGCAATTACTTTTCTCGCTTCGAAAAACAATCAATCGATTCAAATAATTATCATTACTATTATTGTCATTATTATTATTATTATTATTATTATTATTATTATTATTATTATTATTATTATTATTATTATTATTATTATTATTGTCTTCCACATTATTCACCCTCTTTTATACTTATACAGCGGCTCGTCTTTGGTGGAAATCCGACTGTATCTAAACGTTCTCGAGTCACTGTCCGGTTGAAAATTGTATGTTACCATCGAATATGAGTACTGAAGCGGTTTTTCTGAAACCACGTGAGCCATTCAAACTGGCTGCCTTCAACGTTCGCACACTTATGCAGGTTGGTCAACAGATAGGGCTGGCTATGTCTTTGGAAAGTCTTCATATCGATGTCTGCTGTCTATCCGAGACCCGTATTCAAGACTCTGGTGAAGTACTACAAATTCGCTCTCCATCTGTCACTTCAAAAAGCTTGTTTTACGTGCGCTTATCCGGGGACCCTGTGGCATCTTCGTCTGGTCTTGCTGGCGTTGGTGTCGCACTAAGCGCTAGAGCTGAGGCAGCACTGATCGACTGGATCCCCATTAACAGTCGGTTATGTGCTGTTAGATTAGAAAGTTCCATCAAAGTGAGAAGAAATCGGCGTGAGAAACGATGTCTTTTCGTCATCTCCGCCTATGCCCCGACAGATTGCAGCCCGGATGCAATCAAGGATGAGTTTTACCACCAGTTATCTGTTCTTCTCCAGAAAGTGCGTTCGACAGATATTGTAGTACTAGCCGGAAACTTGAATGCTCAGGTCGGGCATCTAGGCATAGAAGAGAGTCGTTTAGGTGGCCGATGGGGACTCGTTGGTCGCAGGTCAGATAACGGGGACCGTCTACTGCAACTGTGCACAGACCACAACCTGTTTCTGGCTAGCACTAACTTTCGACACAGTCATCGCCGATGTGTCACCTGGCGTCCGCCTTCTGCATCTCAAGCCTGGACTCAGATTGATCACATCGCGATCAGCTACCGCTGGCGTGGTTGTGTACAAGACTGCCGCTCCTTTTGGAGTACCTATCTGGACTCTGACCATGTTTTGGTCTGCGCCAATCTTTCCTTACTTTTCAGTGGACAACGAAGTGACCGCCAGCAAAGGATTGATATTAGCAAGCTGGTTGTAACTTCTGTTGCAAATAAGTATCGAACCGAGCCAGCCTCTAGGCTAGCTACCATTCCACCGAAAAGTATAGATGAGCATTGGTTGCAATTGCATGACGCCATGAAAATGGCGGGTACAGTCAGTTGTGGGTTTGCGAAACGTCCCGCTTATAAGCACTGGGTTTCTTCTGGTTCCTTACAACTCATTGAAACCCGTCGGTCTACTCCTGGTGACCGTGAGTTTTACCAGAAACGAAGGCTGTTACGTAATGAAATCGGGAGAAGCTTGCGTAAGGACCGAGAAGCCCGGTGGTCGGAGCGTGCTAATGAGCTGGAAGCAGGAGCTGCATCTGGTAACTACCGGAAGCTCTTCCAACTCATCCGAGCCACTGGTAGCAAGACGTCTGGTGTGAGTGAAACAATTTGCGAGGATGATGGGATGCCAATCACTAACATCCATCGACGTCTTGGACGATGTGCAGAATTTTTCGAAGTGCAGTTCAACTGGCCTGCTGCTCCGGCAACATCGGTCAGACTGTCCTGCCCTCCATGGCCGGTGACGACTGATCCACCAAATGAGGAGGAAGTCCGCAAGGAACTCCAACTCTTGAAGCGTTACAAATCACCTGGCCCAGATGATTTACCTCCGGCTCTTTTTAAAGATGGTGGTGACTTTTTGACTAAGGAATTGACGACGTTGTTTACAAAGGTTTGGGAACTAGGGAGTGTACCAACGTCATGGAATGAGTTGATAGTTGTCCCTATCTTTAAAAAGGGTTCACGTCGTTCCTGCAACAACTATCGGGGGATAAGTCTACTTCCGATTGCGTCCAAGCTATTGGCTTCCATCATACTTCGTAGGTTCTTCAAAACCCGAGAAAGATTGACTCGCGAGGACCAGGCTGGGTTTCGTTCTGGTCGAGGATGTATTGATCATATCTTCACACTCCGCCAAATGTTAGAACATCGCCATACTTATCAAAGGCCAACAATCGTAGTGTTTCTTGACATCAGGGCTGCCTTCGATTCGTTGGACAGGACTGTTCTCTAGGATTGTCTATTGGAGAAGGGTGTGCCTGAGAAGTTTATTAACATCCTAAAAGCCCTATATAAAAACACGTCAGGCAGAGTGAGGGCATACAACCACCTCTCTCCATTGTTCCATTCGAGTAGTGGGGTTAGGCAGGGTTGCCCAATCTAACCATTCCTCTTCAACTTTGCCATAGATGACATTCTGGAAACAGCTCTGATGGATGTAAGTAATGGCGGTGTGGATCTGTTGCCTGGAGAAAGACTTCTCGACCTTGAGTATGCGGACGATATTGTCTTACTGTGCGATAATGCCCAAGGCATGCAATCCGCACTTAATCAGTTGGCAATCAGTGTCCGTAGGTATAGTATGTGTTTTGCACCTTCGAAGTGCAAAGTACTCCTACAAGACTGGCAGGATTCTAATCCTGTACTCACCCTGGATGGTGAGCAGATAGACGTAGTCGAGAAGTTCGTGTATCTGGATAGCTGCATAAGTGCTGGTGGGGGTGTGAGTGGTGAGATCAATGCACGAATAGTGAAAGCCAGAGTGGCTTATGCCAATCTGGGCCACCTTTGGCGCCTTCGTGATGTTAGTCTGGCTGTAAAAGGTCGGATCTACAACGCGTCGGTGAGAGCAGTTTTGCTCTATGCTTGTGAAACCTGGTCTCTCCGAGTTGAGGACGTTAGACGACTTTCTGTGTTCGATCATCGCTGTCTCCGAAGGATTGCTGACATTCAGTGGCAACACCATGTCAGTAATGCAGAAGTTCGGCATCGTGTGTTCAGTCACAGAGATGATAATGCAATCGATGTCACCATCTTGAAACACCGACTTCGGTGGCTTGGACATGTTCTACGAATGTCGTCCCAGAGGATTCCATGTCGTGCATTATTTGCCGACTCTGGGACTGGTTGGAAGAAGCGGAGAGGTGGTCAGTGCATGACATGGTGTCGTGGCATGAAAGAAAGCTGCAAAGGACTGGCTTCTGTCGATCCTTCACGACTCCCTGGTTGGGGTCCGAGAGATGGTGCTACACAGTGGCTAGAGACGTTATCAGATATGGCTCAGAATAGAAGCCAGTGGCGATCCTGCTGTAAGCTTCTTTTACTTTCTTCATAAAAAGTGGTTCTGTCTCCCTTGCCTGAAAGATTTATTCCGATTGTACCTTTGCGTTCCCTGATTACTAGCACATTACCTTACACCAATCTCTTCGTTATTGTTCTCTCTTTTTTTGTTGCGCTCCTTAGCTTTTTTTCTTTCTTTCTTTGTATTCCTCTCGAATTTTCATTGTTTTGTGTGGCGCATATATATTGGCGATCTCTTGTACCAATATTCATGTGTCCAAATAAATAAATAAATAAATAAATAAAGGAGTCCCATGCTAGGATGAAAGAGAAGTCTAGTGCTTTCTGACTTCAATGGTTGACTAATTAAGATCAGTGCATGATGTAGACAAACCCCTATAGAAAAGAAACTTCACTGGTGTTGCAAAACCTACGAGTGGGTTATCGATAATGAGTGAGCAGTCGACATGATTGATAATCGAATAAAGTAAATTTGAAAAATTAAACATAAAAACATATCTTGGCGGTGATATAGAATTCTATATGTTGATTATCAAGTTTGGAAAAAAGGATACAGTAAGGAATTCACAATATTACGTTGCCCAGACATACTATCAAGCTATTTCACATGTATTGTTTAGACTAGTAAGAGAATATGCTGAATTTATCGACTAACCTCCACAATATACTAGATTAACTGAAATGTCTAAGAAATTATCGAAAAATTTCTGAATACCGATTGCAAAGAGGGAAAGAGGAATATTATGGTAAGATTCAGATTTTACATATATGCATGTAAAGCACCTTCTACTGAAAGCCTATTATTACCATTACGGAGAAAGTCATTATCCAAAATAAATAAGTAGAGAACTTTGATATATATATATATATATATATATATATATATATATATATATATATATATATATATATATTAGAAACGACATAGTAAAGTTTGACCGACTTGAAAGTAGTTTATATCACTAAGCGATTGTAGCGACCCAACCATGGGAACCCAAAGACTTAGGAACTGTTGTGTTTTAGTGTGGAACATCTCACAGCTGCGCACCCATGATCATATCATAGATCGAATCCAAAAGCTTTAGGTCTTATGGTGAGTATGCAGTCTTTAGATTGATGAGTCAGTATCCAACGGTTTATTTTTCCAACTATTCGATTTAGGATATTTTGAGACCACCATCTTTTATATATTTTTTATTTATCAATACGTCACGTTATGATACACGTTCAATAAACGACGAAGAGTAGAAACGCTTAGAAGAGATCGACGACATACTACCGACATTAAACACTCTTCCTAGACATCCAAATTAGTTCAGTCAAAAAGCAAGCGATGTGGTTCATATGTGCTAGTTTTTCAACTTGGTAAATGACACTGGAAAGCCACCAATTTTTACTATTTTTAGAGGCGAAAGATGCTTCGTTAATTTACACCTAAATGAAGTTTCTCGACAACCACGAGAACTAATGACAGAAACGTACTGTGAACCATACTAATCCCATCGACTAACTGTTAAAGTAGGGACTGCTCAAGAATTAATATCTATGTGATCAATCTGAGTAATACATCATCCATGAGCCAATCGTTCGTGCATGAATCCACACATGTTTCTCCTTACATAGAAAATGTGAAGCTCTAAATCTCATAATTAAATATTTCTTAGTCACTGAATCAAGTGTGACATGTATAATATATATTTAATACTAGCTTCAACAGATACATTTATAGGAAAAAACAAACAAGTAATCATAATCTTACACCTCAGTACTAGATGTTGATAATGTACTATTAACTGATGCTCCTCCCAGCAAGTCATTTTGACCACTACCAGATCTAGATGAAGTAGCTTGAGATTGCAAATTATCCAACTGTTGAGTAACTTCATCAGCCCAACGACAATTAATTAATTCATAAATGTGCAACGAAGCCCTTGATTTTGCAAAAAAAAGAAGAAAGGGGTAGATTCGATCTCTCCATCTGGATAATATGAAAGATGGAAAGTATTTTCCATTTTGATTGTAAGTTATATTTATTTAAAATAGAGTAATCTTCAAAATATCATTCTCCTGAAGGGAAGTATTAGTGGAGTTTTGTTCTTTGAGCTGGATGATTTGGTCGTGGAAGTATTAGTGGTAATAAACAAGTAATGAAAATACATTATTAGGAAAAAGTTTAGTAACAACCAAATGGGAACAGAAGGCACTGCTAGGATGTAATCCAACTGTTGATTCATTGATGCAAGTATTTTTATTTAGTTTTATATATTTTCCTATCGAGAAACCCAAGACTTAGTTTGAAAGTTTAATCATATATATTGGATAAACCCGGGGGTGAATAGCACAGTGAATATTTAGATACCACATAAATTTAAACTCCGCCTGGAGTCCCTCCGGGGGCTACTGCCGGTCCCAAGCCCGGATAAAGGAGGAGGGTTGGGCATGGGGTTAGCGTCCCCATCCCGTAGAAAACTAACTCGCTAAAAAAACGCTAACCAGAAAAAATTATTCAAACCTTTTAAACTCTGCCCTGGGAGTCAGAAGGTCTTCATTTAGAAGAATTATGACGCCTCATGATGAAAGCCGAATTCCTTCGGAAGTTACGAGGCCGATGCCCCTTCTGACAACCAGAGCAACCATTTATTTAGGTACATGGAATGTTCGTACAATGTGGGACACCGGAAGAGCCTTCCAAATTGCTGCAGAAATGAGAAGATACAACCTAGAGGTACTTGGGATCAGTGAAACACATTGGACACAAGTTGGACAACAACGACTAACTACAGGAGAGCTCCTGTTATACTCCGGCCATGAAGAAGAAAATGCACCACATACACAAGGAGTTGCATTGATGCTGTCCAAACAAGCGCAAAATGCACTTATAGGATGGGAATCTCATGGACCAAGGATTATCAAAGCCTCGTTCAAAATAAAGAAAGAGGGTATTTCAATGAACATCATCCAATGCTATGCGCCTACCAACGACTACAATGAAGACGCTAAAGATCAATTCTACAATAGGCTGCAGTCAATCGTCGAGAAGTGCCCAACAAAGGACCTGACCAGTCTGATGGGAGATTTCAACGCCAAGGTTGGAACGGACAACACTGGATATGAAGACATCATGGGACGACACGGACTGGGAGAAAGAAGCGAAAATGGTGAGAGATTTGCAAATCTATGTGCCTTCAATAAGCTGGTCATAGGCGGCACCGTATTCCCACATAAACGCATACACAAAACCACATGGACTTCACCGGATCACATTACACAAAATCAAATCGACCATATTTGCATCAACAAAACGTTCAGGAGGACTATAGAGGACGTGAGAACCAAGAGAGGAGCTGATATAGCATCAGATCATCACTTACTGGTCGCCAAGATGAAATTGAAACTCAAGAAGCACTGGACAACGGGGCAGACAGTATCACAAAAGTTCAATACGGCCTTTCTTCAGGATACTAACAAACTCAACAAATTCAAGATAGTCCTCAGCAACAAGTTCCAGGCCTTTCATGATCTACTCAATGGAGAAGGAACTACTGTGGAGAGCAACTGGAAGGGGATCAAAGAGGCAATCACTTCAACATGCCATGAGGTCCTGGGTCACAAGAAGCACCACCACAAGGAATGGATCACTGTTGATACACTGGATAAGATTCAAGAAAGAAGAAACAAGAAGGCAGCGATCAATACCAGCCGAACAAGAGCAGAAAAAGCTAAGGCACAAGCTGAATACACGGAAATAAACAAACAAGTGAAAAGGAGCATCAGAACCGACAAACGTAAATATGTGGAAGATTTAGCAACGACGGCGGAAAAGGCTTCAAGAGAAGGAAACATGAGACAATTGTATGACACGACAAAGAAGCTCTCTGGAAATCGCCGCAAACCAGAACGACCAGTGAAAAGCAAGGAAGGCAAGGTAATCACCCACATTGAAGAGCAACAAAACAGGTGGATAGAACACTTCAAAGAACTCTTGAATCGACCAGCGCCACTGAACCCACCCAACATCGAAGCAGCACCCACGGACCTCCCAATCAATGTTGGCTCACCAACAATTGAAGAAATCAGCATGGCCATCAGGCAAATCAAGAGTGGCAAAGCAGCAGGACCGGACAACATCCCGGCAGAAGCACTAAAAGCAGACGTAGCGGCAACTGCAAGGATACTCCACATTCTCTTCAATAAGATTTGGGATGAGGAACAAGTACCAACAGACTGGAAAGAAGGACTTCTGATCAAAATACCGAAGAAAGGCGATCTCAGCAAGTGTGATAACTACAGAGGCATCACTCTTCTCTCAATACCGGGAAAAGTCTTCAACAGGGTATTGTTAAACAGGATGAAGGACTGCGTAGACGCCCAATTTCAAGACCAACAGGCAGGATTCCGTAAGGATAGATCGTGTACAGACCAAATCGCAACTCTACGGATCATTGTGGAACAATCAATTGAATGGAATTCATCACTCTACATCAACTTCATTGACTACGAAAAGGCATTTGACAGCGTGGACAGAACAACACTATGGAAACTTCTTCGACACTACGGCGTGCCTCAGAAGATAGTCAATATCATACAGAACTCATATGATGGATTACAATGCAAAATTGTGCATGGAGGACAGTTGACAAAGTCGTTCGAAGTGAAGACCGGTGTTAGGCAAGGTTGCTTACTCTCACCCTTTCTCTTTCTCCTGGTGATCTACTGGATCATGAAGACGTCAACGTCTGAAGGAAAGCGCGGGATACAATGGACATCTAAGATGCAGTTGGATGATCTAGACTTCGCAGACGATCTGGCCCTTCTATCCCACACGCAACAACAGATGCAGGAGAAGACAAACAGCGTGGCAGCAGCCTCAGCAGCAGTAGGTCTCAACATACACAAAGGGAAAAGCAGGATTCTCCGATACAACACAGCATGCACCAATCCAATCACAATTGACAGAGAAGATTTGGAAGATGTAAAAACCTTTACATATTTGGGCAGCATCATTGATGAACAGGGTGGATCTGATGCAGATGTGAAGGCGCGGATCGGCAAAGCAAGAGCAGCATATTTACAACTGAAGAACATCTGGAGCTCAAAGCAACTGTCAACCAACACCAAGGTCAGGATTTTCAATACAAATGTCAAGACAGTTCTACTGTATGGGGCAGAAACCTGGAGAACTACAAAAGCCATCATCCAGAAAATACAGGTGTTTATTAACAGTTGTCTACGCAAAATACTTCAGATCCATTGGCCGGACACTATTAGCAACAACGTACTGTGGGAGAGAACAAACCAGATCCCAGTGGAGGAAGAAATCAGGAAGAAGCGCTGGAAGTGGATAGGACACACATTGAGGAAAGCACCGAACTGAGTCACAAGACAAGCCCTCACATGGAATCCTGAAGGTCAACGGAAAAGAGGAAGACCAAAGAACACATTACGCCGAGAACTGGAGATAGACATGAGAAAAATGAACAAGAATTGGATGGAACTAGAAAAGAAGGCCCAGGACAGAGTGGGTTGGAGAATGCTGGTCAGCGGCCTATGCTCCATTGGGAGTAACAGGCGTAAGTAAGTAAGTACATAAATTTAGGTGAAATTATGATTTATCTAATTTGAGTGATCACTGTCAACAAGTTGAATTTGTGCAGGAATCCGGAAGACTTCAAGTTGTGTCCAGATAACTAACTGCATACATTGACGGAAGAGAAGAGCTTGTGCTGATGCTCTTTAAAATGAAAACCGAAGTTTCGCCGTTAATATAAAAATTATAGAAATGCTACAGTGGAGCTACGAATTTCCATAAACACAGATAATTCTTGGGTTAATTTAATTCAGCCACTAGTTTTAAAAAAAAGCAAACTATATATGAACTACGTCGATCCCATTTAGAGCAAACGAAGATAATAAGCGACAACCAGTTTATCCAAAAAAGCAAGACGAAATCTTATAGTAACTAAAAGAATACTCTAATCCTATCGCTAACAATAACGAACAGTTTAATTCTTTACTGATATAAGGTCAGAACCATAACCTACAAAGTGTTTTACTAATTATTTAACTGATATCTATGATTTGGAGTAATGACCTAGTAGTTAAGGCGTTCGACTAAGCTACTAAGCCTCAGGTTTGAACTCCGCTCAATCTACTTATCGTTGGCCTTAACACTTACACTCCAACTCATAACTAAGTGCCTTGTGAATGAGTTAATTTGAATTTCAAGTTGAAAATTCATACTTTGGTCTTATCTTCAGAGACATCATTAGATCCCCTGCATAGTTTCCATCATATAATATGTCAACATGAAGCGATAATTTATAAAACCTTGATTACCAATTATTGCTGTCATCTTTACAATAAGTCTATTGAACTGGTATATTCAAGTGTGACCATTTACTAGGTGTGATGAGGAATAGAATAAAAAGCTAAGTTAAAAGTATTGAGATTTTAGAAGACAAATGACAACTTCTTCTCTATAGATTCGCACTCCTCAGAAGTGTTCACAAATGACAACACACGGAATTTTACTTAGTACTGGTAACAAGCAAGTACAGTCCATTTTTAAAATAGCGATATTTGTATCTGATATCTCCGATGAACTGTCATGACGAACTTCACAGTTTGGGATGATTTTCCTAGAATTGAGGGGTAGTGTTGCGACTTTATGAGCCGCTTGTTACCACGTAATCTATTCACCAATCAAAATACGAATTATTCGCTCTTATACTGTACCTAACCAATGACGTTCGACCGGTCTGATCAGCCTAGCGTCCTATTGACCCATTGCCCACCTAGCCCGTCCAGCTGAGTCCAGAATGCCAATAACAGCCTCCACTATGCAAATCATTTATTTCAGACATACTGGGTTTATATACCAAACAAACAGACCGCAACGCAGCATAAAATGGGAAATAACGTTCATACACA